CAATACGGTACCTACACCCACCGTCTGGGCTTTTCGCTTGTCTGCTCTGCTTGGCTCTGCGTACAGCAGCTCGATGCTGGCGCGACCGCGCTTCCAGCTCTGTGTGAGCGTTTGCCGACTTTGGTTGGGTAGTGCAGGGTAGAAATTGTTGATGGTGGCAGGGGAGGATATTGCCATGCTTGGTCAAGTACTTTGAGCTTCTCGGCAGCCGGGGACGACGTCACCGAATGCCTTAATGCCTTCCTCTCCTTTGCGTCAGGCACGCGAGGCCACCCGAGTCAGTCCGCAACTGAGCGTAATTGGTAGGCGAGGAGTGCCTGTATGCCATAACAAGTGCTCAGGTGAAAATGCCATTGATTGGCTAATATTAGCCTGTATGTCATAACAACCAGTATGTGATGACAAAGGGATGCCGGTACACAACACCAGTTGGAACTTCCAACTTGGAAGGAGAGCTTGAGACGAGTAATTTGGAAACTTGCAATGTACAGTACGTACCGAATTACCTATGTAATGCCATACACTTCAGCGAACTCTATCTCTTCGTGCCCGAGGAATGCAAATTTGCATTCGCATATAGTATCTAATCATCCAGGTGGAGTTAGTATTAGTAACATCTGAAAATACCATCGAAAAGCGAAGAAAGAGACAAATTCAGCGACAAAAGAGCGTAGAAAAAGAGCTGATATTGTCTGAAAATACCATCGAAAAGCGAAGAAAGAGACAAATTCAGCGACAAAAAGAGCGTAGAAAAAGAGCTGATATCCAAGACATCAAACAACAGGATATGGTAATCTGAAAAAGTACATTTTTCGTGTGCAACGAAAAGGTGCGATGGACGGTTGACATCTATTTCATTGGCGAATATTATAGATACGTGATAAAAAGACGGGGAGGTCATCTCTTCCAAAAGTGCATGTTTTGCACACATATTCCGGGGATTTGCACACGCTATTTTAGCCTTGAATTTTGTATGAAAAAACATGCCCTAACCAACCGGGCACGAAGAGGCGTCCATTTCTTCATCCCCAAAATGCACTCCAAAACCCCAAAAATCCCCAAACGTAAAACCTCATATTTAGGAACCATGAACCTAACTTTTACTAAGACCCATTATATATCTAGCTTAGAGTAACCAGCCGCGCTGCGCTTGGCTGGGCGCCCCTTCGGCGCCCCCGCTGTTCGCTTCGCTCGCGATAAAAAGATTTTCTCACCTGGCGAGTGCAGTGTTCGGCTCGCTGGAATGCTCGTCGCTGGGCCCGCCTACGCAAATACCGCGCGGCCCTGCTTCGCGGGCACCCCGCGCGGGTTTGCTGCGGCTACGCTCCTCGCAACCGCTCACCTCCGTTGGTCGGGCGCTATCGCGCCTCTGGAATAAAATTAGCCTAATATTTAGTTACCCAATACTATGATTTATTTATTTTGGGGGGACAGTTTGGGGGACGTTTAATTGAGATTTTGGGGAGTAACAAACAGTTTTTATTGAAAGTCCCCAAAAAGTTTTGGGGGATTTTAGGGGACTTTGGGTACGTTTTGGGGATGAAGAAAATTCTCCCGCACGAAGAGATATTGAGTCGACATTTCGGTGCCCTGGCTACTAGCCAAGCAAATGCATAGAAAACGCGTTTCAATACAAATATCAAGTGAGTCAGTATAAAAGGGCAGTGCACACCAATCTTCCCGAAACGCCTGTGATTGGTCAATTAGGGGGTGTATGGCATAACATAAAGAAGGTGATAACATAGGTAATTCGGTATTGATGCAGGACAAACTCTAACTACTACTGAAGACGAAGAACTGGAACGTAGGAGAGTTCGGGGCTATGGTGTACATCTCTCAACTAAGCTCTAGCTTTTTTTTAAATTAAAATGTAATTATTCGTTAAGCGACGTATGCTCTCGTCTGAACATTGGAAAGTATCCATACGAGTGCATACGGCATTACTGATAAATTGTCATGGGCGATACAGCTTTTCAGCCAGCACTATTACATCGATACATGCCCACTATTCAAAACTTCAAGCCGCTTACATGTACCGTACAAGCCCGATAAATTTGTTCTACTGAATGATTGGAATCCGTTCAAGAAGAAAACACCTGATCCGATGTCAAATCTCAAGATGTAGCTCTTACTGAACTATCACTAGTTAGAGTTTTCTTACAATTTATTACAAATAAAAGGTAGCTCCAAAAATATTAGGTGTACGGTAATACCGGCAGAATTACTTCCCGGCGATAGCTTTCCCAATGCACAATGATATTCAGAACTAACTAACATCTACTGTAAAAACTGTAATTATGCCCCCTCCCTCTAATAGTGCCCCACCCCATGAAAGTTGACGACTTTGGCTGGGGACTTGCGTTAGTGCCCCACCCTCAAATTGAGCCCCACCCCAACCTTTTATTTGGAAAATTGAATCTAATTCTGAGTTTTTCCTCAAAACATTCCAAATGTTTCACATCATAATCTTCAGGTTTGTATGTCAACTTACCAATGTCAGTGATTACTGTCAAATTCATTCTGTAAATAGACTTTTTAGCGCTAGTTGTTTTGGTGCCCCACTCCCTTTTTAAAGGGCACTATTAAAATAGTGTCCCCTTGTCATAATGCCAGGTTGGCAGGGGGGTACTGCTGCAATACCCCACGGGGCATAATTACAGTTTTTACAGTACCTAAAATTTTGTATCAATAGGCTATATAATAATGGATGCTCATCTAAACATACCTATTTGACATATAATAGTGGTGATATTAGGTACGAGAGCTATGAATAGGCTGGGAGAGCTAAACTCTTATTTAATAGTGTGAGCATCTTCACCGCGGTCGCGCCGTCACTATCGCTATCGCCAAAGCAGCAATTCAACGAGAAACAAAGTCGCGCGCATTGCACGAAGAAGCTCTGAAATCTACGACTTACCTGTTACCTACAGTATCTGTGGTATGTAAATTTGCGTTTCCATTACACATTTCCTGCGCCTGCTTCGCAGCCGCAGCATCTGCTACATTGACTTAGAGCCTATCAGGCTGTTTCCGAGCCTTTCGCCCATCGACCATTATCATCTTCAGCGGACGCAAACTTTTGTTTCTTTATTCCTTTAGTAGCCACCTTAGCAACGTAGTACTAAATGCACTTGAGTGCGAGGAGATACGGATCGTTCAGGCCGTACTTGGTGCGTGTGTTCGGCTGGAAGTGCAGCACTGAAAACGCGCGTTGTACTTCCTTACCTCCAAGTAATACATGTAGTTGAATTGGCACCACTGACGGACTCAACGCGCGCGGCGACAACCCGACAACGCTGATCACCGATGTGCGGACTGGTCTCACTTTCGAGATGTCTTCCATCCCTCTCTTGTTTCGGATTTGAGATGGAGAGCATAAGCGACTTCAGTTACCGGGGCCAGTTTTCCGGCTTCAGCTACCGAGGTGCCGCCTAATTAATCTGTGTTGGGCTGGCCACAGCACTCCCTCCGGGGTTGCTGCTATCCCAGAAATATTTCAAAATTATTTCCAAATTGTATATGAATATTTAACGGATAATGCAGAATAAAGCACTTTTCCAAACTGTATATACCATCGTGAAGGTATAATGCCTATATTATACCGTACCAAATAGTATACCATTTCAGCGTGAAATTACCATAAATGCTGATTTAACACCAGGTATTCTTATTTTAACATAATAATTGTAAAATAAACTGGATGTGATGAATTTTAAATTAGTATTATTGTGGAAACCGATTAGATTGCCCGAGCGGATTAGCTGATAAAGCAGCGTTCATGAGAGATTTGACTGGTACTAAATCGGGGATCCTTATGATTTCATATGGCATTGGTAAGGGTATAAATCGGTGTAAGGTTAATAAAATGGGGGTTGCATCATTACCCGCCAGAAATACGACGAGCGACCACTTACCGCCACGAGCTGAGTGATTCGCGTACCTACTAACGAGAAATAGCATCGCGTGCATTAAATACGCTTCTGTGAGCTTCGATGTGTACTGCATTCTATTTATCAAGTTCTGAAGTCATGTATTTGCGCTGTCATTTCTCGTCAGCATTAGCGTTTGTCGGTTTTACGTTAAATCGGCCACCGAATGCCGTGTGGGTGTCGGACATTCGGGCTGATTAGCATGCAAATCAGCCGTCCCGGGCTTTGTAAGCCGTGGAGCAGCTAAATCAGCTTGCCACATGGCGTTGTAGGCAACTGACCGCTCAGTCAAATCAGAGTACAAATCTTAGTCTGTCGATCTAATTAGGAGGTCGGATTTAGCAAATCAGACCCGATTAAGCTTAATCAATCGATTTGTATCCCAATTAGACAATCTAATCGGTTTCCACAATAACGTGCTTGGCTTCGAATCACTAAAATCAAATTAGCATTTAAACACATCATAACAAAACTTAAAAAAATGGATTGCTATTTATACGAAACGTTTCGAATAAAATCGAAATTTTAGATATTTGGAGGTTAAACCAATGCAACTGGATACTTAGTTTACTGTGCCAAATAGAGTATCTTGTGGGATGTAATCTATAGGAATAGTACACCGTATACTATTTGACATTATCCGTTAATACTATTATTGCTACTCATAATTGTTCGTAAACAATTATTAAAAAATAAATGTAAACATGAAAAATGTAAACGAATAATATCTATTAAAATAATCGTTCGTAAACATTTTGGATTGATAAATAAAACCCGTGTTTATTGACATGAAACAAGTGTACCACGCACCTCTCACAACGCTTGTATTAATACTTGTGCCAGGGTGAGTAGCCAAATACTAAACTTCCTCTTGAAGTATTCATGGAGTGCGTCGCACTCGGGGCGATGTTCTGCCAGGCTCTGCACCCCTCCCATCCAGTGATAACCATTTGGGGTGTAGCAATCTAACGATTAACGGCCCGGTTTTTGATTTTCTGTTCTATAAATCCATAACCAGTTCGCAATCACAAAGGCAAAGGCTAAGCCACATCACCAAGTGCTGCGCCCCTCATGTTGCGCCACGGAGTTTTGCTGCAGATTATCACTGCACTCCTGGCGCAGGCCGACGTTTCCTCGGCGACACCAGCATCTCTACTAACTACAACCGACATCCAACGTTTAGTGCATTCGACCGTCGTTAGCCAGCGAAATCTCCCCACAACGAGGCTGCTGAGGGTTCATAAGCTCTCAAGCCTGGATGACGAAGAAAGAGGCCTCCCCGTGTCCGGTCTCGAAGCAGTCGCCAACTCGGTCAAGTCCACAGTCTCCGTGGAGAAGCTCCGGGAGTGGCTCAAGAGAGGCGAGAGCACGGACGACGTCTTCAAGCTCCTGACGCTCGACAAGGCCGCCGACGACCTCCTGGCCAACCTCAACTTGAACGCCTGGATCAACTACATCAAGCTCTTCAACGAAGAAAACCCGACCCGGAAGGTCAGTCTGATCGCCACCCTCACGGCCAAATACGGCGACGACGGCCTGGCCAAGCTCATCGAGGCGGCCAAGAAGGTCCCGAGTACCGAGGACATCGCCAAACGGGTGCAGGCCGAGCAGCTCCAGAGCTGGCTGGCGGACATGAAGACCACCAAGGAGGTATTCGCTCTGTTGGCACTCGACAAGGCAGCGGACGATCTCCTGGCCAGCCCGCTGCTCAACACGTGGCTCAGCTACATGAAGCTCGTCAACGAGGACAGCACCAAGAAGACGAGTTTGCTCGCCACGCTCACGGCCCACTACGGAGCGGACGGCGTGTCCAAGATGATCGAGTCGGCCAAGCGCGTGCCAAGTACTGCGACGATGGCCAAGCGACTGGAGAACGAGCAGATCCGGCGGTGGATCGCCGACGAAATGTACCCGATCGACGTCTTCACCTTGCTGAAACTCGACAAGTCCGGAGCTCAACTCTTCACGCAGCCTCAGGTAAACACTTGGCTCAAGTTCGTGGACGACTTCGGGAAGGCCAACCCCAACACGGAGAAGACGTTGTTCGCGGTCTTGCAGAAGCGCTACGACGAGCCGACGCTGGTGCAGATGCTCATCAAGGCAAAGAACATCCCGAGCATGGAGAGTGTCGCGGTTCGAATCCAAGCCGAGCAGACCAAGTTCTGGTTGGGTGTCGACGTTGAAACTGCAAAGGAGCCTGCTAGAGTATTTGAGCTACTCAGGATTAAGGGCAAGGATGGAGTCGCGCTGCTTAGCAACCCGCTATTTATCGCGTGGATCAAGTACACGGACGAGTTCAACAGAAAATATTTCGGCACAAGGAAGACTGCGATCCCGGCATTGTTGAAACTCTACAAGGCCGATGACCTCGCAAAGATGATCCTGGCGGGGAGCAAGAACCCAACTACAGCAAGACTGGCGAAAAGAATGTACGACGAGTTGTTGCGGAGCTGGTCTGTGGAGAAGTTGGCCCCGGAGCTGGTCTTCGCGTCGTTGAATCTCCACCTGACAGGGAATAAGCTGCTTGAAAGTCCACTTTTCACGGTCTGGCTGAAGTATTTGATCGCTTATAGCGACAAAAACCCAACAGTGAACGTGAGTTTGCTCTCGCAGTTGGAGAACAACTACAAAGGAGACAGGTTGTCGAAGCTTCTCATCGCAGCGGAGGATGTTCCCAGTACCAAGAGACTCGCAAAAGATTTAATCTCCCAGCGGCTCGAGGGTTGGCTGTCGTCTAGAAAGGATCCTGTGGAAATATTTTATCTGCTGGGCGTGCAAGGAACACCGAAAGATGGGGTACCCTATTTGCTCTATCAGAAGTACAACGCAGCCTTCAAACGTCTCAAGAAGTAGACCACCCATTCTGTAGGTAATATAACACTTATTATTTTTATCGAATAGGAGCTGGTGTGATGAAATGAATATGCTTATCAAGGAACTCGAGATGGTTTCAAGTGCCGATTCAAGTTAGCAGTCCAAACTACCCAACAGGTTCGGCGGGCTCATTTGCAGACAACACTGATGATGCTGAAGGGCGAATCCCTCTCCAAACTCCGCTATAAATGGAGGAGTTTGGTGCAGCGCGAGTCTTGTCGCGCCGTAATTAGCACAGCTCGACAAACGTTTGGAGTACTTCAACTGCGCCTTCAGCACTTGGCCCAACCTACCCACTTCCCACGCTCAAGCGCTCGACGTCTAGCCAGCTACGTCGTCTACGGCCAGGAAGTGGCGAAGTCGAGTGACCGGGAACCAGTGTGCGGCCATGGGAGCTGCTGCGTCTGTGGACGATCCGGACGCATCGACGATCTTTAGAGAGGTCCGTTGCCCGAGTGCGCTGGCATTTGGTTGATGCTATTAGTTTGTTAACGAAATGTTGCTGCAGACAAAGGATGAATACGAACGTCGCTTGGCTGCAGGCGACTCGGAGGAGGAGATTTTCTCGAGCCTCCGTCACATCGTTGCTCAGCGTTTAGCGTCCGGGACACAGCTTGACCCAAAGCCTCCGCTTGAAGATTCCCAACCGGTCAGTTCGGAGACCGAAGTCCAACCTATGAACGACTCGGAAGCGGTAAATACTGGTGATACCCTAGACGAGGTAGGTCCATTTACTTCCGTGCGCTTCAAGCTAGCTGAAACCTCACCTGTTACTTCTCATTATCTTCTAGCCACAGCCAGACGCTAGTACGCGTTCAACTTCACTTCTAGATGCAGCTACTTTAGCCTCTGTGACGACATCACCGGACTTCAATGACTTGATCATCGAGCCCAATATCGCTCTGTCTCCGAAGGCCCCACTTGACGAGGAAGTCGCTCATCATGCCGACGAGAGAACAGCGAGCGGTATTCTCCCTGTGTCCGGTGAAAAAGGGTTCGGCCGAGCAGTGGGCACTTCTCGAGCTGCACTTGATCTGGTCCAGAACCTTGCCCCCGTATTCACTACCGACGTGTTGACCGACCCCGCGACGCTCAAGATGATCCTCAAGTACGCAGAAGTGAACAAGGTCCCGAACGGTGTCGACATGCTGCGGTTCTGGGTCGAAATTGACGAGCTGCAGCACTTGCCATCACATTCCTACACACACCGTCGTCTACGGAAAATTTACGACAAATTCTTGTCCCCGGATGCGCCTTCGCCGGTGTGCGTCACTGCTCACATGATGCAAGAGATCGAGAAAGCTCTGGAAGGAGACAACATCTCCGCTGGTATCTACTCCGGAGCGCAGCAGATTTGTTACATCGCGTTGGAGAAGTCGGTTTACCCTCGCTTTCGGGATAGTAAACTGTTCAAGAAGATGCAGGACTTCTGTGCTCCGATTATTCCAAACGGAGCTCCTAGCGGCGAAGCAGGTTCAGGTAATGGCGGGTCCAACACAGCTGACGGGTCTGAAGAAGCTGAAGATTATTCGCTAATGGGGATTTTAGCCCATCCAGCCAAGTTACGCTTCCTCAAGACGTTCTGCATGGAGGCCTTAGCGCTGGAAAATCTGCTGTTCTACCTGGAGGTCGAGGACTGCAAGCGGCTGCCGAACTTATCGTTCGTAGTGAACAAGACACGGAGGATCTACGACCGATACTGCACCCCGTCGTCGAAGAACTACATCACTGGGCTAGAGGAGAATGGCGCACTTCGAGAAATCCAAGAAGTCGTGGACACGAAAGGAGCTTTGGTGCCCAAGCTGTTCTACGAGGCTCAGATCACCGTGTTCCACCGCATAAGCGAAGATATGTGGCCGGGTTTCTGTCGCTCGCAGGAGTATCTCGACCACTCGAAAGTCGTTAAACCCGACACCAAGCAGCTAATACGTCGCGGCAATCGGTTCGAAGAGAGCGAGGCAGTGCATCAGAAACTAGACGCGCTGGCCGAGTTCCAGCTCATCGACACCGCCATGCACTACCCCGTGGAGAAGCTGATCCCCATCTCCTTCCCTGAGTCTATCAAAGGAATGTCGCGACGCAAGTCCATTCAAAAGATGGAGGAGGAGCAGACGCTCAGCCCTCAGCAAGTTCTCACTTTGTTGCTGGGCGACCCATTTGCCAAGAAATACTTCAAGTTGTTCATGACTCGACGAGGTGTCGACTCTTTACTTGCGTTCTGCGAGGAAGTGGAGGACTTTAAGCTGCTACCGGGCATCGAGTTCCTCCAACACTCGGCCAAGAAGATTTATCGCAAGTATATGATGCCCAGCGCCCGACTTCAAGTCGATATGAGCACAACGATGCGAGACGAAATCTACGTGCGGCTCTCGAATCCGAGCGTGGATATGTTCAAGAAGATCGCCAACAGGGTTCGACATGGCATGCTGCAGGACTCACTGCCGCGCTTCGTCAAGTCGAATTACTATAAGGAACTGCGACGAGACAGCAAGGCAACACCCGCAGATGCACACCTTGCGACTGTGGACCAGGCCGCGAAAGCCGGAAAGCTGGAACTTTGCCACTTGGACGTCTTCTTGACGTATCCAGGCTGCATGCAGGCCTTCCGCAAGTTCTTGGATTTCCAGCATTGCTCGGAAAATCTCATGCTTTGGGAGGAGATCGAGCACTATCGACGACTTCCGAGCTACCAGATCGTGCTTCGGTCGGCCAAGAAAATCTACGTCAAGTATCTGAATCCGAACAACCCGCGATCGCCCATTCCGCTGGCCCCGGGACTTCGTAAGCGCGTAGAAGCTTCGTTGGACGTGGCTTGCCGTACAACCTTCGATGAAGTTGAGAACGAGTGCTACGACCACATGCGCAACGTGGTGGTGCCCGACTTCCTGGACTCGCGGATTTTCATGGCCCTTGTGGGGACGTGGGCCACCGTTCACGAAGATTATCCGGCCGAAATGCTGCGCGGGGAGCTGGAGATGGCCTTCCTTCGTCACCGCTTCCACCTCGTACAAGAAGCTCGAGGGATGTCACGCGATTCCCCAGCTCCGCTGCTGGATAAAGGTCGGAATGGGGCCACACCTCCGCTAGGAGCTAGTACCGGTAATGGTTGAGCCCTGAATCCACCACTACAGATAATAATGCTTGAACCACGAGAGCAACTCATGTAGTCAACTACTATTACCTACTTACCTATGAAAATCCTTCTTTTACTTCATTCCACGTCGTGGTTGCAATTCACCTACGCGAACAGCGCGTGCAACGCCGCCTGCTGCGGGGCAGGGAGGGAGGCCCAAGCTTGGCCCATGACGGGTTCCGGTACCGTGGCACGGAGGCCAGTGAGTGTGGTCGACAGCTCCTGACGCAGACCCGACGCCTCCTTCGTGCCGACTGCCTTGCTCATCTTGCGCAGGAACTTCTCCTCGGCCACTGCGGCTAGAACGGCGACAACCTTGCCTAGATGCCGGTAGTCCGGCGCGCCGAGAACGAGAGGATGCCTGTCGTTGACGTAGCGGCACAGCCGGCGTGATACAGCCAGAGACTCTTCCAGGTCACCACGGAGCGGAAGCAACTCCAGCCACTGAGGGAACAGCGTAGCGGCATCCACAGCGCCCCCCTGGAACTCGCAGAACTTGCCCAGCGCTGCCACGGCGTTGTCGGTCGCGTTGCGCTGCTCCGGGCTGCTGTGGGCCCGCGGGTGAGCGACCACGTTGTGCAGCAACTGCAAGCACTGCTCGGCGCGAGGAGCGAAGGCATCACCGCCCTGGGAGGCGCACACGCCCACGCCGAAGGCAGCGGCCTGCACAAGTCCAGGCTCAGTCACTTCACGCAGCGCGCTTTCCAGGACAGGCAGGAAGACATCGAGTTGACGCATCGCGGGTCCACCGCAGTGCTCCAACACATCATCAATAACGAACAGCGCAAGTCGACGGTCTTCCACCAGGCACCCAGGAGCAGCCAGAGCAGCCACCTTGTCCCACAGAAGCGTCATGAACACCGGGAAGAACGCGCCACCGTGAGTCTTGGCCAGAGTACCGATGCACTCGGCCAACACGAACTGGAGCTCCTGTTCCGCCACTTGGTTCTCACTCGACTGCGAGGCGTCATCGTCCTCTTCTTCCTCCGCCTCGCCGGCCTCCATGTCGTCGCTACCCGCGCCACCTCTCCGCATTGCGCGGCGCTGGAAGCTGTCACCCAGCACCACAAGCAGACCATGCACCAGCTCACGCAGTTGGGCCTCGTTAAGCTCCAGTGTCGGGTGAAGCTCACGCGCATCGTTGAGGCAGCTAATCATACTCTGCATGATGCTCACAACCAAATCCACTTCCGGCTCCGACGTCAGGGCATTCACCAGGCGACCGAGAGCAAAGTCCACCATCTGCTTGATAGCAGCCTCGCCGTGATCCTTCGACGCTGGCGCCGCGGTCGAAATGGCCACGCACTTAACAAGAGCAGGCATAGCACGAATGGCCGAGGCACGGATGTCCGAGTGCACCGACTCCGTAAGCAGCGGGGCCAGCACCTGCGTCACCTGTTCAGCGTACGGGAAGAAGGCGTCTTCCAGGTCCGTCACCATACCGGCCAGAAGCTGGCACGCAGTGGCCTTCTCTTCCAGGATGGATGTCCGGATGCTGAGGCACTTGTCGTTGACCTGCGCAAGCTGGATGTCTTCGCTGTCCGTAGAGCCACCGCTTTCGTCGTCGTCGTCGTCACTAGACAGGGTAGAAGGGTCCACCTCGAACTCCGCCTGCTGGGTAGCGGCCTCGAGAAGCGTCGGCATAACGAGCGGCAGGTACGGCGCGAAATCACGGCCGAGACACGTGCAGCATCGGGCCCAGGCTTGCAGCAGATACGTGCGGATCAACTCGTTGCCTACGATGGACGGAGTCGCCTGCATTTCCGCCATCACCTTCAGGATAGCGGGCGCGTCGCGAGAGAAAACTTCCTTACCCACAGCCTGGCCGATAAGACTCAAGCACTCGAGCGTGATACCTCCAAGCGTAAAAGAACTGGGCGCGTTGGACTGCGGCTTGAGCACTGCCGGCGATGCGGCCGCAGCCAACATGCTCTCTTGGAGACAGCTCATGAGAATTTGCTGGAGAGGGGGCATCACAGCCGCGTAGTAGTTGCTGAACGAAGCACCAGCCACCGTAGCCACCGACGAGATCGCCGTGATAGCTTGCTCTTGCACAACGCGCGTGGCGATGAAGACCTGAGTAGGCGCTTGGTTGGTACCCGGGGCCATTGACTGGCCGTGCTGCAGCAACGCGAACAACTGGTGAAGCATCTTGTCCAGATACGGCGTGAGGAGCTCGGGCGGGCACATGTCGATGAACTGGCGAAGCGCGGTAGCAGCATGAGCCTGCAGACGCGGCTTGTTAAAGTCTTCGAGGTAGTGTGCCAGCACAGTGAGCGCCTGGGAGTGGTAAGCTTCCTGGAACTGCGGGGCCTGGTCGACAGACAGCTGGCCGATCACGTCTACGGCCGTGCAGCACACGCGCGGGTGCGGGTCATTAGCCTGGGCCAGAAGGTGACGCACGATAGCGTCCAAGTTTTCGTTGTCGAGTACGTCCAGAATCTGGCAAAGGCCCACCAAGGCGGCGTGGCGGCTCACCCAGTTGTCAGAGCGAGCAGCATATTCCTGAATCAGTGCGAAGCACGTGGGCAGCGAGCGCTTGGCGCCCAGCGCACCCACTAACCGCTCGAGAGCCTCGGAGCCCACGTCAAAGTTGGAGATCTCCTGGTCGATACCTTGGCCGCCAGCAGACTGTTCATCCTCGCAATTGGCCACGTCCCAAGTGTCCAAGTCCTGCAGCTCCAGCATCATCTTGAAAGCCACAGGGTACACCGTCTCCACGAACATGTTCTTGGGCAGTCTCCGGCAGCGCGAAGGAGCCTGCTCCGCCAGCGAGACCAGGAACTCCATGGCCAGTTGTCTGCATCCGTCGGGCATAGCATTGTCGTCGTTCTCGTCACGCGGGGCATCGGCGATCTGCACCATGGTCTCCACGAACTCGCGCAGGCACGGCTTGAAGAAGGCCGCGTGGGGCTCGGCCACCTCAATGAGCACCTCCAGCGCCTCCATCACCTCATCGAACTGGTGGGTCACAAGCAGCGAGTGCAGCGCGGCCAGCACAAGGGGCACGGCGCTGGCCAGCAGCTCGGGCCGCGGCACTTGGTCCAGCGCGTCCAGATTAAGCAGCAGCATGCCCAGCGCGCGCAGCGCGTTCAGGGCCACGCGGCCCTCGCGGTCGGCCAGGCCCTTGGTCATGGTCTGCAGCACCGTGACGTCCAATGTAGCCGTGGCCTCAGCGTCCTGCGTCATCTGAGCGGCCAGGAAGATGGCCACCATCTCCAGCACGCGCAGCGCGGCCTCGCGCAGCGTCACCATGGGCGCGTTGCTCCACTGCAGCAGCTTGGGCAGCAGGTCGTCCCACTGGCCGTCCTCCAGGATGCTGCTGGCCAGCTCGCCCACCGTGTCGCACACCTTGCGGCGGATGCCGCGGTTCTTCTCGCCGGCCTCGAGCACGGCCAGCAGCTCGTGCTTGACCGTGGCCCGGGCCGCGTCCGACGCGCGCGGCCAGAGCGACACGGCGTCGCGCAGCAGCACGCGCCGCAGCAGCACGGCGGCCAGCGCGCGCACGTCGTCCGGGCTGGCCGAGTGCACCACGCGCACCAGGCCGAGCAGCACCTCGTCGCTGCAGGCGCTCTGCTTGAGCGTGGCGAACTGCGCCTCGGCCGCGTTGCGGGCCGCGTTGTCCACGGCCAGCAGGCTCCACAGCAGCGCGTCCCACGGGCCCGACGCCGCCTGCTCCATGTCTCTGATACTAGTACAAGTAATACGCGCGCGGCCGGCCAGAAGCGCGATAGATAAATTAGATAAATGCAGGAATGCCGCAGCCGGCCATCAGATGGGTGGCCGCGGCTGACTGGGCCACGGCTATTGGTAGAAACCGCATCAAAAGCGGAGACCAATGATGTGACGTTGAAGGCCTCCTCCTACGTTGTTCAAGCCTGCACACGTCGCAGGAAATCAATAGTACCGGTACGTTGGGAAGCGCGCAATGCGCATGTTGCTGCGTTATGCTGGAGATGTCCACGAGTCCTCGCGCTTTTAGCCGACTCCATGCCTTGCTACGAGCAGGGATTGTATGGTAGTATTCGATCCACAAGAATCGGCGCAAAGATCAAAACGAAACTCCGATAATGGGCTCTAACGCCTACCTTTGGTACTTTGATACAGTTGCTGGCATGGCCAACACACGTGCACTTCAAAAACAGCAGCGTTCATTATGCTCATTATCGGAGAGCAAAATGCAGAATCTACTCCTCGTCGTCCGAAGTGCCGAAGTCCTCCGTGCTCTCGCCGAAGCGCTCCGAGCGGTAGTTGGTGTACGTCAGGAACTGATTCGAGAGCTTGGACTCGAACGTCGGGACAAAGCCCGACGGCGTGAAGCCCAGGTCGGCATAAATATCTTTGCGAAGCATGCGCGCTACAACGATCGAGCCACAAGACAGAGAAAAATGCACGTTAGAAGAAGTGCACACAATTGACAACGAATCTCGCTGTCGTGACGGTACCAGTGATGAAGGTGCACGGGTTGAGGATCTTGTCCTTCTTGCCGGCCACGGGCTGCACGTCCTTCGACAGCCAGCGCATCGTCTCCGCGAACTTACCCATGCAGTTGGTGTTCTACAACATCATACCTCGTTAGTAGAAGCCACATCTCAAAACGCAGGCGATAGATAGCTCTACTCTACCAGGTAGGGCGGGTCCACCAGCACGTAGTCGAAGAAGTGGTGGAACTTGCTGGGCAGGTTGGTGGACTCGTTGTAGTCGTAGAACACGAAGTGGCCGCTGTACTTCTCGTCGAAGCGGCGGTCGAACTCGAACAGGTAGACGTTGTCCCCATTGATGGGGGAGTCGCTCTCCTCCTGAATCTTGAGGAAGTCACGGTAGGCTGCCGGCGTGCTCACGAAGGCGATGCGCATCTCCTCGCTGTGGTCAATGGCCTCCTGGGCCAGTGCGCGGCCAGTGCGGTCATCGTACCAACTGGATGCACATACATCGTCAGCACCTAACAATAATAAGGTAGAATTGAGGTAGAACGGGTGTAACGCACAACTGCGAAAGACGGAAGTCTTCGGACACTTCCTCCTGCGCCTGCTGCGTCTGGAGATGCGCCTGCAGCGCCGCCAACGTGTCGGCCGAGAGCTCGCTGGAGAGGAGGGCGTCCATGGTGTGCGCAGGTAGAGCAAATGACAAAATGCGTATGGTACGGTATCAACCAATCGTTCGGGGTAGAACAGAGGTTCGTGTTGGTCAGAGACGGGTAGCTCAAACATACATGGCTACATTCTTCTACTTCTACTCGTCGTCGGGCTCCTGGCACGGGCCGAAGCGCTCGGACTCGTAGTTGGTGTATGTGAGGAGGTGGTTGGACAGCTTGGACTCGAAGCTCGGGTAGAAGCCCGTGGGGGTGAAGCCCAGGTCCGCCTTCATCTCCTTGCGCAGCAACTGGGCTGCAACCACGAACAAGGAGGCAGAGTTAATAATTAGGTAGTTCGAGTACCCACTCAAATAGGTAGGTAGAGCACACGTACAGTTGATGAAGGTGGAGGGGTTCACCACTCGGTCCTTCTTGCCGGGCACTTGCTCGACGTTCCTGGCGAGCCAGCGCATGGTGTCCGAGAACTTCTCGAGGCAGTCCGGGCTCAGGTGGGGCGGCTCCATGAGCACGTAGTCGAAGAAGTGGTGGAACTTGTCCGGCAGCTCCGTGGGCGCGTTGTAGTCGTAGAAGCAGAAGCGGTCGCCGTACTTCTCGCCGAACCGCCGGTCGTACTCGAAGATGTAGACGTTCTCCCCCATGGCCGCGCGCTTGGCCTCGTCGGGCTCCTCGCTCTGGATCTTGAGGAAGTCGCGGTAGGCCGCGGGCGTGCTCACAAACGCGATGCGCAGCTCGCTGCTGCTGTGGTCGATGGCCTCCTGGGCCAGTGCACGGCCAGTCTTCTCATCGTACCAGCTACAATACCAATGCACCAATATAACAGTCAGTAAGTAGAGCAAGTATATCAATCTATACAGTCGTTCTACCGTACAACTGCGAGAGGCGGAAATCCTCCGACACGGGGGCGTCCTCCTCCTGGTGGCGCTCCAGCAGATGCGCCTGCAGCGCGGCCAACGTCTCGGCCGACAGCTCGCTCGCTAGCAACTCGTCCATCGTGACGAATGCAGTGAAAGTGACTGGTTACAGTATCTGTATCTGCCAATCGTTCCGGGTATTGGTGTTGTCAGAGACGGGTAGGGGCTCTGTTACAGCTGAGCGAGCTATCCTCGTCCTCGCCGGAGGAATGGAGGAAAGACTGTCGACTGATAACAACCGAGGGCTAACATTGAGTGTGTTGTAAGTTAGCGGCAAGAAGCGGCAATCAGCACATGCGTGTTCAGTTGGAGACAGCACTGGGAGCCTCAGTAATTGCACTAGCGAAGTAGGCTCCGATAAAATATAAAAAAAAGATAAGACTACATGCTGATGTACGTGTATCACGCAGTTGAAGCCACCCAAGAGCTCGAGTGATCCAACGCATTTACTTCTTACCCTGATACCAGCGACGCAACACCGACGACAGTACCGAACATTACCAAAAAGCCCAGAAGGGCTAACGCAATTTTCCCCTTCGCCTTGGAATCTGCAGACATTCCCCTACTCAGGAACGAGGATGCCTCCCTAATGCTCTTTTCGGGGGCGCCCGCAAAGTCGTCATCATCTCGGGATTGCTCTGCAGCCCGCTGAGATTTTTCTGGACAGCCGGGATTTCCTTGACGTTTTCGACTTCCTTCATGACTTGGGGATTCTTTTGCAAGGTCTCGACTTGCTTGACGATCTTGGGGTCCTTGCGCAAGGTTCTGATGGGGGTCGTCGGGTTCTTCCGGAATATGTTCTTCAGCTTGCTGAGCTTTGGGATTTTGAGCCATCGCTCTTCTTCTTCAGCTTCAGCGTCGGTAGTTGCCTCCGTGAGCTCCGCGCTACTTCGGAGACCCCTGGAGCTGCCAGTGGGAGTTCGGACCAAGTCCGTTGTAATCATCCCAGCAGTACGGTCAGCTTGCACGAGAGTGCCGTAGCACCCGATGAAGGGACTAGGAGCAGGAGAAAGACGACCGATGCATCGTTTTGTGTGCGTCTGGCAACTTGTAAATTGAGGACTGAACGGTTTGGGCGACCACGAGAGAATATTTTCGAGGATATTATGAAGCTCTAGTATACAACAAGACACTGGGAAGTACGTACAGGTACTGCACATTTACGCTGTGGTAACATTACATGTATTACGCTTCTGCGGCAACCAGATACCAACAGGTAACATGATAAACGTTTGACCTACTCCGACTCTTTTCACTGCGCTAGACCTTTCCTGCGAGCTGAGGGCTGTGCCTTTCACTTATTCTGCCATGATAATTCTGCAATAATTCTAATCCCTTCTCGGCTCTAATTATGCCCTGAGTTAGCTAATTTCCATGTTAATTCCGGGTCGTCCCACCGCGGTCGAATTAGGAGCGGCGATGGTGAGGCCGAGTTAAGGCGGAATAAGCTAATCCAGCCTGCGTTAGACGGAAACAGAGCGATTGGCGGTTTCCTACCCGCCAATCCATGCCATTCTGCTCGTATCTCCGTCGATTAGCTCGCAAATGCTGATCGCGTGGGTTAGGGGAAGCACTCACGATCATAGGCGGAATTAACACTAAATAAGCGTTGCTCGTCCTTTTATGGATCTAATTCCGCCTGATTTAACAGCTCACCCGTCAAAATAGGTGAAAGGCACAATATTAGTTGGGGCATTGCCCCCCTTTTAATGAAATATGCATAAAAGACTTTTTACCCTACTTTTTACCCCAATTTATGAACCCCTGTATTACAATTGAGAATGGGGTAGGGCAAATGAACTATCATAGCCTGCCCGGGGGCGATTTCGATCGAATTTTACCTCTTTTATAGAACACACGAACTCGACCCTTCAAATGTTAGTAACACTATGTTACCTTGTTCGAAGGTATAACAAGTTATTAAACTGAGGTCAACTTTTTATCGAACCGGAGATCGCCCCGTTTGTATCAGCAAACAAACGATTGCGTTAATCGTTGAAGTTTAAGATAAGAGTTGACGACCGACGATTTATTGCGCCTTTCACGTATTTTGGCGGGTGAGTTGTTAATTCAGGCGGAATTAGAGTCATAAAAGGGCGAGCAACGCTTATTTAGTGCTAATTCTGCCTAAGATTGTGAGCGCTTCCCCTAACATCCGCGATCAGCATTTAAGAGCCAATAGACGGAGATACGAGCAGAATGGCATGGATTGGCGGGTAGGAAACCGCCAATCGCTCTGTTTCCGCCTAACGCAGACTGGATTAGCTTATTCCGCCTTAACTCGGCCTCACCATCGCCGCTCCTAATTCGGCCACGAATGGGCGACCCGGAATTAACATGGAAATTAGCTAACTCGAGCATAATTAAGGTCGATAAGGGATTAGAGTTATACCAGAATTATCATGACAGAATAAGTGAAAGGCACAATATGCACATGGACCGTGGAACCCTTTTGAAGGGGTGGCTGAACTCCGGTTAAATGTGGTAACGGACACTGGTGCCCGCCGTAAAAAACATATGAGAGGTCAGGAAGCTCCGTAAAAAGTCTCCGCTAACGTACGAAACAATGTACTGAAGAGTCATTTGGATTAAGTTATTCATAGATAACCTAATTCAAGGTATCGGTCAGTACACTGATAGATCCTTGGCAAGGGAGCAGTGAAGTCCAAAGTCCAAAGGCTATACTATGGTAACGCTAACTATTACGAACTACTCATGCGGAAACAAGAAGGCAGCACTAGAATTAGTTGGACTGCTTGTATAGGCATATTAGTTGCTCCAATCATTGAATGAGAAAACTATAAATCGATTGCTGCAGCTCTGTTCCGGCGGGAGCAACCGAGTACGAGGATTGGCATGAAACAGAAAGCGGTCGCTAGGCCAGAAGGACCATTTACAACAGCCAGAATGTGTGCTCTGTAGCTATGAAGGAAAAGTGGAGATATTCTCTCTTTGCCCTGATATTATCCTGACACCCTTGATAAATAAACGAGGTATTGCCATTTGCACAGGAAGAAAGCTCCTAAATCGCATGTCATTTCCCGAGCAAGCTAAAGTACTGTAAAAACTGTAATTATACCCCGTGGGATATTGCAGCAGTGCCCCTGGGGCATTATTAGAAGGGAGCCACTATTAAAGGGAGTGGGGGCACTACATGTACGGATGACCAAATACAATTTGCGTTAAAAAGTCTACTTACTCAATAAATTCAACAGCAATCACTGATAATGGTAAGTTGTTGTACACACTTTAATATTGTGATATGAAATGTGGTATAGCAGTACACACAAAATCGTCAGTTGTGGTAACTTGGCTACAAACACAACAATAGCCGAGCTGGTCGGCTTTGTTGGCCTGCGCCGGGTTGCCCCCGAGCGGTTCGGCCCAATCGGGACAGCGGGTGCCTCGCCTCTCGCCAAGACCTGCCAACCAAGATCACTCCTCCGGAGAACCGCCGAGTTCGACGGCCTCCGTTCACTCATCCCTGTGCCGTCCACCAAAGGATGGACGACGGCGCACGGAGCGCTTTTACAGGTCGCCGAGAGCAAAGGCTTCTCGACTCAGGAATCAGTGCCCGGGACGTGCGGGAACACCGGCTCGCAGTGGGGCGAGACTTTTCCTTCGCGCTTGGCGAGACACGCGCCCAACCCGGGCCGACCTTAATCTCTTGGCGCTGCCAGCCGAGTACCCTACAAGCTATGCCTCTCGGGTACCGGCAGCAGACATAATCCGGCCCCGTGCAAGGACTTACCGGAACGTGTACACGTGCTTTAGGCCTAGAAAATTCTGCTCTATTGTTTGTTATCTCGGTCGGGCACCCTGAAGGGGCGCCTCCACTATTCCTATATTCCTATACAAATAACAAATGAAAGTGGGCGGTTCTCGACCGACTCTTCGCTGAGCTCGGCGACGCTTAAACTCGGCTGGTCCAGATAAGCTATCCGGATAATTCTTCGAACTCGGCTGAGCCGGATAAGGTGTCAGGATAAGCTGGTGAACTCAGCTGAGCTCGGCTACCGGTACACTGTGCCACTCCAGCCGAGTTGGTCGCGCGAAATCTGGTGTTTCCTACACCACAAAACATTTGAAATTTAACCCCTATGGTGTGGTGTTCAACTTTAAGATCGGTTTTGGACAGAATATCCGCTGTATGACTACCCGTTTGGCATTCCTATCCAATTATTTGCTCCTGGGCGATAGGGCAGAAGACTCCGAACGCGTTTGCGAGCAGCACAATCAAAGAGTTCGTGTATTGTGAAAATTGTGAACATGTTTGTGGAGTACACTAGACACTCAGCAGTCCAAACCCACTCGGCGTCCTTCTTCAGAAGCTGTGTACTCTCGAAGCTGCAATTACTCTTGCAATGCAGGAGGAGTTTAGCCTGCGGCAGGCTAAGCTGCATGCACATGTGCCGATGCCACAGAACGAAAAGAGCCCAAGGGAAGACGAGGATTACTGCCATTTCTGTTATACCGTAACGATGGACAGTATACGCGTTAAGTCACGCAACTAATCTGTTGGGGTCACGCCCTTATTCTTTGTGACCAATCCGATCGACGAGGCGACCAAGGTCGTCACGTTCATGAAGGGACTAAGAGATGGGCCTGTGAAGACCTACCTTAAGTTCGCACTTTGGTTGGTTTGGTTTGTTTCAGGCGTGAAACGAGCACGAGCAGAATGGTTGAAACGAGACCAGCGTCGTTTGAAGACTTCAACGACACCCACGACTTTAAATTGAAGTCTTGGGTGTTCGTGGGTGTCGTCCCATGACTTGAACGTGGCGACACCGATGTAACCTTGTTGAACATAAATTTACTGCAAACAAACTGTAGTTTTGTTTGGTCATGGTCGAGCGACATCCGATCGATCCTGTCACGCAAATGTCGACCCTAAAAGACTCAAGCAACACACCGCTGGATAATATATTATCCAAGCGTTTATTAAACGATCCGATACGTTAATGATTCGTCCGTTTATATCCGATAGCGGAGCATGCATTTTAAAGTGATTTGCACCTGCAGTCGTATCGCCCTAACAACTATGGATAAAATCCAGAGAATTCGGAATTAAATTCATTTTTTTCAGAAAAAGACTGGGGTGGGGCTTTATTTGAGGGTGGGGCACTTTCACAAATCCCCATCGATTTTCATGGGGTGGGACACAATTAGAAGAAGGGATATAATTACAGTTTCTACAGTAGCAATTTGCAATTCTGACAGCAATTTTTCGGTCTATAAACACAAGTTACAGTTTCCTGCATGCACTAACCGGCTTGAATCCATGAATTACCCACCATATTTACGTGTGGTTTTACGACAGCAATTGGCGAAATGCTTGGTCCTTTTATTTGTCTACGGTAGATCTGATGGAGGGTTACCCTCTACTGGTGTGGTAATTTTCATTTTTTCGTTTTATGGAGGCTAAACATCCCACTCAGAGGTTAAGATAACTCAAAGTATTGTATTACTCAGTAATACAATTTCGGTATTAATACTTATACTCGTTTTTTTGGGCGAATGTATAAGGATAATTGAAGTAATACTACTACTCGGAATTGGTTATACCAGTAATATTTTACGGTTATACTTCCAGAAGCCCCTCCGAACCCGCGCAGACGCTATTTCAGTGCATGCTCGCGCACTTCCACTCTCTATACGTCCTCCGCGGTGCTATTCGATACCCGTCGGACCGCGGGACCCGCGCGAGGGCCCGTGACAACGTCTACCACGACCTTAACAGAAACTTCTATCTAAATGCAAAGGGAAGTTTGCGTTCATACGAAAGTATTGTATAACCGATATTTATATCAGACCTCCAGTAGGGCCAGTAATACTAATACCATGATTTGGTCAATTATCCTAACCTCTGACCCCACTAGTGCTGTGGTCTCGGCTCCGTACAATGCCGAGAGCGCGGAACTCTGCAACCTCGTGAAAAATAAACTGCACAGAACATGACTACTTATATACTATTTGTTTTTGTTCTGGCAGGCACGAACTCCTGATTTACAGTTGAAAAATGTCCATTGGTATACCACGGATTATCACTGACGCAGTGGAAGCCACTCGAGAGCTCGAGTGATCCAACACATTTTGTTTTACCTGCATCTGATGCTACTGACGCAATACCGATGATGACACCGAACATTACGAAAAAGGAAGAACATCCCAGCATTCACCTTCGCAGCGGACCCTTCAGGTATTCCCCTACTCAGGTACGTGGACACTTCCTTGGTGCTCTATTCAGGGTCGCTTTTCCGCAGCTTCGTTATCAGCTCGCGATCGCTCTGCAACCTGCTGAGTTTTTTTCCGGACAACTGGGATTTCCTTGACGTTTTCAATTTTCTTTGGGGATGTTTTTGCAGATTCTCAGGTTGCTCGACGAATTTGGAGTCTTTACGCAAAGTGCTGATCGAAGCTGTCGGATTCTTCCGAAATTGATATCTACACTTGCTGTGCACTGGGAATTTGAACATTCTCTATTCATCTTCCGCGTCTGTTGCGTCTGTTGTCGTTTTTGTGGTCTCCATTGTCGCCAGCGCACTAGTTCGAGGGCTCCGGTTCGTAGTGGGGTTGTTGTTGGGGGTGCGCTGCGAGCACGTCATAGCCATTCCAATGGCATGATCAGCTTGCACGAGGTTGCTGTAACACCCGATGAGGGCGACTAGGAGCGGGGGAAGACGGTCTGACGCATTGTTATGTTTGGCGTTGTAGCTTGAAAATTCAGAAGTGAACGGTTTGGGCGACCACGAGAAGAGCATTCCCGGGGAGGAAATTATGGTATAACACAACACCGGGCAATACAGGTAATACTTCTACTGGATATATCTTACGGTTACTTTTGGGCATTAAGCCGGTTGCAGGAGTTCATACAGGGAACTGCAACGGGCAACTTCCCCAATCTTTTGATAGCAAAGACGTCATATCCCCCCACCCCCTCACTGAGTATTTGGATATTTCGTTGATGTTTTCTTTTCAGAGACGCCATGGAGAGACGCTATTCCGATAGTCTCGCGATTGTTTTGCGAATTTTTGATGAAGATAATAATGCTCACGGTGTGTGTATATTTTTTGGCCTGCCGGCGCCACCAAAACCAGGATTGAATATGGACCCAAGGACGGCTAAAGTAATCCGGAAAGGATTGATGGACTTATGGTACAGCCCAACACAACGTCATGCAATAGGTACTATGGCTGGCCCCAGTCAGACAATTTATAATTCTACTCCAGGTCGGTGTGGCGAGCTACGGGATTTGCGCCGACGTTCTTCAAAAGCATGCACTGGCGACAAAACCTCGTTAGCGTAGGAAATGTTCATGATCAATACAATCTATCTTATAGACTGTATTGATACCATATTATGCAGTCAAAATCTTGCTCTGGATCTTAAATGTTTTAATGCTTTCGTTCAACACGGCAAAATCGACGTTAGAATAACCTTTGATTGCGTCGGGAACCACCACATGCACCCACCCACCTCCTTCATCCTAGCGGTAGTAAGTTGCGTTAAGCTTCTTTTCGGTCGCCACGTTCCTACTGCTGGGACGTGAGAAGGACACTGGAACCGCGAACTTTCCTCTTTTTCAGGACCGAAAGTCCTTGTGCAGCAGCGTTGCAGTGGGGATGCTTGCCCTGATGTTTCTCAGGCACGATGCCAGTGTTGTCGTCGTTCTGGATCAATCTGTGCGAACGTTTCACCCTCTTCGTCTTACCTGAGAGCACCTCGCCTGCCGTGTGTTCTTGTCGATTGCGCTTTAAATCTTCGCGGTTCCTATGAAGCGTACTTTGCAGGCGATGGTGGTGGCGGTGGCACTGGTACTTTCTCTTCATACTCGTCATCATCAACGCGCGCTGATTCTGCCGCCACCGAAATGCAGCTTGTGTCGGCGCGAGCTTCGTGAATTCGCTTGAACTGCTCCAGATTATGGTGCCCGTTCAAGATCTCTCCTGCACGACCTTGCAGTATGCCTCGCGCCTCGCTTGATCCCGGCTACTTTTGCAGCGAGGATTATACCGCTAGTCTCCGCCTCCACCAGCGCCCTCCCTGCCACTCGCCACAGCTCAGCCCTCTGCGCGTCTTTCGTTGATTTTGACATGACGCCCCCATGGCAGTAGCGCTGTTGCTCCGCGTTCATTTGGGCGATTCTTTCCCACTTCAGTCGTGTCTTCTCAACTACCAGGCGTGTGATATCGGCTGTGTCGCGTTCTGGATCATTCACCCCACAGCAACCCCTAGCCATCTCGACCAATTCGTCTCCACCATTCCATTCCGTCATTAAAACTCGCCAAACTAGGAGAAACAGCTTACGGTCTTGAAATCAAGCCCGAACTCCATCGTAAACGGCACGAGTAGGCGCCAAAAGCTCGTACAAACCACGATTTTGTTCGTCTGAGGTCACCGACACATCGTCATGTTCTTGGTGTTGTTCTGGCCCCCTCTTCTCCTGTCGTTCTACCGCCCGTAAAGGAGATGTTTACCTCTGATGGTGGTGACACGATCAGGCCTTTCTCGTCCTCCTTGGAATGCTCTTCCGCGCTCAGGTTTGGTATATATTCAAGTTCGTCGTCACCATTGCTGTTGCTCACTTTGGACTCGTTGGGGAACACAGTCGTTCGGTCTCGATCCCGCTTCAGCCTGTAATGAAGGGACCCAATAGGTGCACCGCATAGGGCAGCCACCACCTCGCACTTCATACGTGCTGCAAGCGCCTCCTCCGCTTGTTTTAGCATCTTGACTTCTCCCTCGGCTTTTTCCCACTTCTGCTGTGTGGCAGACTTCAAGGATTTCTATCTTGGCTTGACGACCAGTTTCTTCCGCAGTGGCTCGCCTCCGTCCTTGAGAACCAACTCTTTATAGGTCCTCGCCATGTCATCCCCCGGATTGGTATCCATGAGCAATTCCCACGCTTGAACAAACGCACCGTTCTCAGCGGGGCTCTTGAACAGTAACCGCACGTCGCAGTAAATCTCTCGTGCCAACAGGAGTTGCCGATATATTGGCAGAAACCACTTAACGTGCTGTTCGCTGCCTTGGTGGACACCGTCGAACGGTATCTGGGCCACTTTCTTACTTCGCTGCTTGGTCATCTACCTCCGACACGGTGAAAAGCGAAATGATGGCACCAGGAAATTCCTAGCCTGGTCCCAGGTTCTTGGCCTCCAACCGAATCGTTATGTGTGGATGGAGACTTCAGGTCAGATCGATTCAGTAGCAATTTGGTTTTCAAATGTTAGAATAGATTTCAATCAATATAAAATGAGTCCTGTATTGCTGACAATAAATAGGAAAAAAGTTGATGTATACAAGTACCTAGCCCCAAATCATACTGCTGCTGCTGACATTGCTTCCCTCAGGATAAAGTCTTGTCAAATTCACAGGTCGAAGACCTGTACTTGGTCCCGGCAAAAAACTTGTAACTTTCGAAAACCGGGTCTCTCTTTCTTAACCCCTTGGGTCCCGGGATTTAGGCTCCGAAACACGTAATCTACGGTACTGTACGTCGTAACTTACGACGAAAAAAGTAACTACGAGTTTGTATTGGCGCGCCCTGTCCGCAACAAGGGAAGCCCCATCAGACATATGAGATTGTAGAGATCTATGGGGGGAACACTTACCACATAAGAGTCGAAAACGACGCGAAGTACGCCGGAACTTACGACATTGAACGTAGATCGAGTGCATACTAATCCCAGATGGTGGATCAAAAGGATTGGTGAACTACACAAAACATCCATCTTTCGCGGTGTTGATACAGGCGTCCCCGGCCTATTCGCCACAGTGGTACCGGCATCCTCCGTTCTTTACTGACAACCATGTTTGACTACATCTTGGCTTCAATAAATGGGTAAAAAAGTGATGTCTGCCGCGCATTGTGAAACAGAAAAAGGTTCGTTGTTTACTCGAGAAGTTCGTCGCAGACCGAGCTACTCTCGATGGTGTCATGCTCGTCGGCCACAGCCCCAATGCGATGATCTACCAGGCTCAGACTAGAAAGCTCCGCGATCACCTTACTAGCTACAACGTCTACTTCCTGTACTGCGAGCCTTGACTTCTTGTACCCAGCCTTGACTGTCTTCTCGCTTAACTCCGCCCACGCTCGCTCAACCCAACTGGCAATGAGCGATCTGTCAGGCGGCACTACTTAGCTTGAACGGAACGCCAGCCTTCCTTCACTTAAGCTGTTTGCGCCGCTGTTCATGCGGAAACTCATCTAGGCCGCTGTAGAAGGCGTTGATAACAGTGATGATGTCGCCGCACTGTGCCCAGGCATCGAGCACCGCGAGCTTCTCTGCCACCGCAATTGCGGAGCGTCTGCGGGCAGGTGGCATCTTGGCGATTGGGAAATGACTGCCCCTTGCCCATTTTTGTGTTGTCAGTAACAAGTGGAGGCACACGATAAGGTATTTTGATTGGCTATAATCAATTGTCAGTAATAACCGAACGTCAGTAAAGAGCGGAGGATGCCGGTACTTATGATGTTTGCGAATCAACAAGATTCACGCGGTCTGAACATAAATGAGTATGTACTGACTTACTACAAGATTAGCTCAAGAATAAGGTGGAGGTATTCCCGCAACGTGCCACTTGTCGCAGTAGGTATCGCTGTACACTCATCTAAATCAATATGTTTGCAGAAGTAGCGCGCAAATCTTGAGAGCTTGTTGTACTTCCTGTGCGAGGTACATTAAAATATACAGCCGGGACTAGCCCGGGGACGCCTGTAGATGACTGCGAGGTTGTAATCACCAAATCATCGATATATAGCCAATCAAAGCATTTTCCCTCTCACTTATGCACAGGTCAGGTAATGGGGAACCATACCATGACGGTGTCGACATCGGCCGACAGAGTGCCTACAAGCTGGGAATGGCTAAAAAAAAGCAGGCACATCATGAATCTCGGGCATGGTGCCCAGGCGGTTAGCAATCAAATGCGCCACTGCTCCTGCAGTGCCAGAGCAAATCCTGGATTGCAGGTGTCAGGCTGTTACTGCCTGACACCTGCAATTCTGCCGCTGTTACCAACTTAAGAGCTTGCATGTTGGTTATTAAAACAGCAGCATTAGCGCTGCATAACATACAAAAACGCAATACATTTCTCATGTTTCGAGAGTTCATCTGGCTGTACTGTATTAAAAGCATTGAAATTTACACGGTTGGTTAGCGCTCGTAGCCATCGATGCAGCGATGCAGTCCTTCTCACTTTTGCTTTTGCGCTCACCCCACCGGCGATTTGCTAGCGATTTCACGTCCGTGCTAAGTAAGAGTGGGGAGTCTTTTTTTTTGTGCGCGTCTCTCTTCACGTCCGGCGATTTGCTAGACCTTCCACGGACAGAGATGCAATCCATTGTGGGTAGACGGACTAGGGGCGGTCCAATGTGTGAGAATCAGAGCGGTACATCCGAGAGATATTCTCTCTGTGGATTGTACTCGATCAACAATGCGGTGCAAACCCGATTTGTTTTAACCGTTGAGGATTTGGTGCCAATCGTGCGTCGTCTTAACGCGGCTGCACCCGAGGAAGAAGGGCCAACCCCCCACGGCGATGAGAAGTACGGGGCGAATTCTATGCAAGCACTGCATGAAGCACTTCGCGCCAAGGGCTATCAACTGCGGTACCTGAACAGTACCAACACGTTCAACAGCAGTTCGCAAAGGTGGTTCAAGAAGATTCCTAGGTCTAGTTTTAGGCACCTTGTGATCATCGGTAGGCCCTTTGGCTAAGAAGAGGGTACCTGGCACTGCATCGCTCGCGCGGCGGTGGGCGACTTCATCGACTCGGACGAGCTCGTCTACAAGCCAAGTACCGAAGACGGATTACGCCATTTCTTTGCTGATCTGGGCTGTGTTTACGAGGTCGAGCCGATTAACTACCAACAATAAAATCCTTCTTTTACACAAAACCGTTGTTTAATCTGTGAAGCTCTGAGGCGTTCCAGCAGTTGCGTACGAAACTCAAACGCGCACTACATGCTGTACGCTGTACATTTATCGAAGTGTAATGTGTAGCGGTATAGAACATTTATTATAGCCCCACGTTAGAAACTATAACTCAACTACTTCCGTGCAAACAGCTCTTGCGTTTCCTTGGGCGCTGGGTCCGTTACGCCAGCGACAGCAACGCGAGCACGGTACGCGTCTACTAGAGAGTTGAGCTTGCTTTCCCGGAAAAACTTGCGCAGTTGCTTGAGTACAGCTGATCCACGTTTGCTCTTGACTCCGTGCTCTTCGAAAAATCTGTACATCCCGGCTTCGGCCTCAATTCCGGTACGGTCAACTTGGTCGGTGTAGTCAGGGGCCGACGGGTCCAGCTCGAAGCCGTTTGGTAAGAAGAGCTTCATGTAGTTCACGGTGTGCTTGTACGCTGATTTTTTCTGCCGATCCGCACACACGTTCCAATACGTGGTATTTTTGCGTACTACTCAAAAGAAATAGCCGCTGGGCCTTTCGGGAGAGCCTTGCTTCCACACGACTTCGATACAGTAGCGGAATCCTCGCAATGCGATTGTGGTGCCACCACCGGTGCAGGAAAACTTGTGGAGGAGTCATCCTGACCAACGTCGCGCTGACTCTCCAGTTGGGTGACCCGCTCGGTCAAGGCTCGATTCATGGCTATCAGCTCGCCGATGATGCAGTTCTGGTGATTGATCAGCTTTTCTTCTCTTGTGAATGCCTCCGCGTCGTCTTGAGATTCCTCCAGATCCTTTTGTGCCACATTCGCCTGTAGTTCAGAGCTCCACGCGAGAACTTGAGCTTTTGGTAAACCCAACGCCATCAGGCATTCGCGCATCCGGGTAGCGTACGGGCACATCGGGTAGCGCTCGAGTACCTCGGGAAAATGCTGGATCAGCACGGCAGTTAGAACTTCAGCAACGCGGGCGTTGAGCTACTTCTCGGGGTCTTGGGTGCACACGCTTGGCTGGAAAAGAAGATTACCCAAGCTCAGTGCCTGCTGCCGGCTGGCGGAGTCGAACCAGGAGAGGGTTGGAACCGGTGGCTTCTTGCTCGAGTCCCACCCGCTGAGAACACGCGCTACTTTCTGGTCTTCACTGGTAGTGTTGAACACGTAAGCGAAAGCCTTGTTGGTAGCCGTCATGTTCCACGATCCACGATCGAAAATCCACTGAGCACTAAGCAGCGGATCACCGTTTGCATGCTGAGCCCCACCACGTCGAAACGAGTGAGACGTCAAGTTTGCAGTTGGCACCGCTTTAGCTTGAGCGGCAGACGCTGTCTTGACAACGCGGTCCACGTAGGCGTGGATCTTCATGTTTTTTTCAGGCAGTTTACGCTTTTTCTGAGGCGGCTCACTTGGCGTGTCGTCGTTCTCGCAGGCAACAAGAGCTTCACCTAGTGGCACGTCAACAGGGGCTGTCATACTCTCGTCCCTGCCTGCGGCAAGGTGCCGATGATCCAGCAGCTGTGCGCACGGAGCGTCCTGCATCACCAGGGCCATCGCAATCGCATGCAGGGGGCACGTGATGAAGCTGTTCTTGTCGGGAAAGAGAGAGATGCCCTGCTCGTCTGAAGTCTTCACGCGGATGAGCCGGACGAACACAACGCCAGCCGCACTCACAGACAGGTTTCCCTTCACCACGAACCCCAGGTCCGAGGCTCGGCCAAACGCGTACCACACCAGCGCCAGTAACGCGGCATCTTGATAGTCCTTGGGGCTGGCGGCATCATAGTACAGTCCGTCCATGATAATTCGTACGTCTTCCTTCGTGCAGGCAGGCGCCTTCTTGACCATTCCACAATCGATGCGCTTCAGACAATGGCGCTCGAGCGTCTGTCCCATCTTGAGTAGTTTCTTCTCGATGGTGGCTCGGTGGTTCTTGACATGGCGGTAGTAGCTCATGACCGAGTTCTTGGCCAGCGGCTTCCCTCCTCGGCCTTCGACGAAGGCGAGGTGAACGCCAAAGCGGTCCATGAGCTTCACAAACACAGCTTCACTCTCATCATCTGCGAGAGAGGCAGCGATGAAGTCCATGGAGACGCCTTGGGCCGCGACGAAGCGCCCGAACGCGTTGATTGCGGTTTGTAGAGCGCGCTGGGAGTTGACGGGGGCGAGGTCTTGGAGGCTCATACTGGTTCCGAATGTTCTGTCGGCAAGAGGGCAGATATTCGAGTGATGAGCAGTAGACTGGTGGCTCGTATTGACGCCCTGCATATTTTTGCTCCCGTGCCTACATTATACGTCGGCACGGCGTCGGCATCGTTTTACCCCACACCTAATCAAACTCATTGGCCGATATTGGGTAAATCTAGATGTCATTGGTCAATATACGTGCGTTGCGGTCAGTCTGCCTATACATAATCAAGTAAAAAAATTGTGTCGGCACCGTCACGATATTTATCCGTATCCCATTTAAGAAAAATGGGTAATCACTACAACTAACAAAGGAGTACTTGGGGTGCTGACTTACTTTGTATGTCAGTGCTAAAGCCGTTCTATAACCGTAGAAGCAGCTTCACTTCTTCGCTTTGTTTGTCAGCTTTACGATATATGCCCTACAGCTCGCCCATTTCTATAGAGTGTTGTTGCCGAGGCAACGGCCTACACCGACGGCATTTCTCAATCCGGAACACTGAAGCAATGCTGAAATTGCTTCGTTTTACCGTTCCTAGAAAAAGTTTAAGCCTTCCACGGTTATTCTAATTTGCAGCAGGTATATTGATGCTGCTATCGAGGGTGGCCGCACCGGTAGCGGCACTCGGGCTTCGCGTACTATAGAAATCGCCTCGTACACGGAGACTGTCAAAACAGCCGAAGAGGATCTCTATACGCACAAATAAGGAGTTATGATCGGATTGACTAGTTGATGACGCGCGTACGAGCCAGACCTCCGTCGTTCCCGGCGAAACCGAAGTATACGTCGTGCTTAAGTTGGTTAGTAGTAGGATACTCTCGTCATCTTAGTTTAGTTATTGGGAGAGGTCATTGTGGGATATACGCACGATCAAGGTTATTTACTCACTACTCCATGCCCTTGCTTCCAATCCGGCATTTACGTGGCGCGAAATACGCTGCAAAACTGTCGCTGCCAAAACCAGCTACACCGTACAGTTGTTATAAGGCTGCAAATTAATATTTCTTCGTGTTAGAAGTCTCGGCAGACATAGTCTACTTCCGGTTATACTTACTTTGTATATTCGGCACCTAAACTCGAGGAAATAGCAGCAACAGCCCTTGGAGAGTTATTTAGGCGCCATTCCATCCATGGTTTTTATCATTTACTTGTTTATTGTGTGTTCGGGCGTTTAGAAGCTATTCTACCAGCTCGTGGGAGCTCTTGACAGCCGCATACGCCGTACTCTCCCCTTCACGGTCGCTGTTGTGTTGCTTGAAAGTGGGTACTCGCGCAAACCTTAAAAGGGGATGCTCGTCTTTCTCTATACAAAATGCCCCATTAGCCAGCCCCGGCTTACGCACAACCCATCTCTGATGACAGCTCTATATCCGTGTTTTTGTGCAATTCTGATTTTTACCTCTCTTGCTTACACTTTTGCCGACGAAAATAGACTTGATTAAAGTATTGCAATCTCGTTTCGAGCCAAATGCTATTGTTAATCGAGCTATGGATAAATATCGTGACGGTGCCGACACATATGATTTTATATTTAGCCACTGTATGGCTGTCATGATCCAATCAAATGTCGATGACTGATTAATATCGAATGAGAAGGGCGATAGATGGTATTTTATCCAATGATCAACGTTAGGTGTAGGTGTATGAGCTGCCGACACTCCTGCTGACGTATAATGTAGGCAGGGCTGTCGAGATATGTTATCCACCTATAGTGAAGTTAAGTAATTAGGTGAATATACACATATTTTGCACGGTGCCGACACTTTACTTAAAGTTTGTATAGCATGAATTTGACTGCTTTACGCGTTTTGTAGTGGCGCTTCCGCTAGCTTCTCAAACTTAACCGAGTTTCCGTGGCGATGCCCTTTCATGAACTTACCACTACTAAGTACTAGTACCACATGTTAGCAGAACGGCAAGGCATGCGATAAGTAGTATTTGCAAGTTTCTTATCGTGGAGATGTACACGTAGAAGGAGGCCACGCAATGAAACACTCGAATAAATAGATACTTAATTAGTATTAACGGTTTAACTCCAGCTAGGAGGGCTTCGGGGCAGGTCCCAGCAACATCCCACCCAGCCAACCGTACATAACGCACCCGCACGCAGTGGCAGCTCTGCATGACCAGCTGCGCCGCCACGAGAAGCACCAGCTCCTCGCACGCTTCCTTGTGTCCTCGCTGCAGGCCACCCGCTCTTCAACCCGCAAACTGCGTCTTCGTCCCCGCCGCACTCGCCCTCTACTGCAGTCACTCTCCCTTGTCCACGGACGCCAGCAGGCTCGACGACTCGAGTACGCCGCGCGCTCACCTCAACCGTGCCCTCTCGTTCCTTCAGCTCCGCCGCACCCTCCTTCTCCTTACCATACGCGGCAGCCGCTCCGTCGTGTCCCCTCTCCTCCACGGCTGCCTCAGCGGTGACCGCCACGCTCCTTGACGCATTGCACGACCTCCTCCTCCACTGCCGCTCGCTCTGCCACCACTCTTCGACTCCTGCTCGACCTCCCTCCTTTCTGCAGCGTCATCGCGGCCTGCCTCACTCTCTCCACCTCCTCCTCCTACTCCTCCTACTCCTCCCCCTCCTCGGCCACCACCACCATCACTGCCACCGCCAACGACGACGCCCGTCCGTCCGTCGTGCCCTTAGAGCCTCTGCTGTCCTTCGTAAGCTTGAGCCCCTCGCCTTCCCCCGCGCTCTTGGTGCCCCCCCCCCGGTGCCTGCTGCCCCTCGCCCTTGTGTCGTGGGTGCCCTGGTCCTCCTCGCTCTCGACTGGCTCCGAGGGCACAGGCTGAGCACGCCGACATGCCGGGCTTGCCACGAACCGTCTTGGGTGACCTGCTCACGCCTGTGCACGCCCGTATGACACGCATGCGAAGCCTGGAGGGGAGGGCGTAGCGAAGGTCACGGGGCGCCCGCATGACACGCATGCGAAACCTGGTGGGGAGGGCATTGCGCTCAGGAGCGCCGCCATTATGACCTCCACCACGAAATGAAAATGCGAGAAGGGTTCAAAATAGCCGTTTTGGACCAATCAAACAAATTCAGGCTTTTAACCAATGATAGATTGTGTCGACAGGTGTCGGCCGCTGTCGGCACCGTCATGGTATGGATGAATATAGTAGTTTTTCCGACAGATAGCTTAGTAGGATTGTACAGAACAGGAAATATATGACGGCCTGACCAATCACACAGTCGCTATTCACAATTTTCATCCAATCAAATCACACAGGGATAGGTTTTTAGTTCCGACAGCTTCTGACAAATATTTGTCGGAAGCGAGACGCAAATATGTATATGCACATAGTGAAATACAGTCAAGTACGTACTTTTCAAATATGCTCATGATTACAACAACTAGGCAGAAACCTATTTTAGGACCGGAGCTCTAGTCAGTGGAGACACTGGTGGTCCTCCGCATATACACACATAGGCACTTTGAAACGGCAGAAGCGCCAGACAAAGATCAGCATGAGTCTCTCTGCACTCATCCCTGCGAACACGCAAAAAGCGTGCACCACAGGGATTGGTGCTTTTGAGCGCATGCTAGAAGCAGAGAATGTGTCTATGAATGTCATTCAAGCCTGTGTGCGTGGTGACAGTTCTGGCAAGAGCCTTGCTGCCATTATGGACCGCTTTGGCTACTACCTCGCCACGTATGAAGGTAAGAAAGGTAAGTTGGCGTCTAACACAGCCATTTCATACTTTAGAAACGTTAAGCTTTGGTTTTTCGATGAGCATCCTCATCTTCGGGTTCCTACAGAGTTAACCCTGCTAAAGCAAGGCAAGACTTTGGAAAAACATTGCTTGAAACGGGACAATGGGGGATTTACTAACAAAGCTCCGCCTTGCACGAAGGCGGATTTAAGGTCACTAATTCGCTATGTCTACAGCACGGCGTCTGTCGCCACCGACTACGAAGATGCGGCGCTCGCGTGCCTCATGTGGCACTGTTTTGGGCGCTCCTCGGATCTCGGCTATATCAGCAAGCAGCACATCACAGTGTCAGCAGACAACGTTTTCTACGTACGCATGCTTCGCGTGAAAACTGCCGAAGATCAAGACCTCACCCTCGTACCTGACCGCGACGACTTCCTCACCTGCCCCCTGCACACACTGGCCGTTGCTCTGGTGATGCAGGAGGCGCCCTGTGTGTCGCTGCTGAGTCAGCTTCCCGCTCTCGCCACCACCGCTGGAACCTCGCTCGACGCAGGTGCGCCTCTGCTCGAGGTGCTGCGGGTCAGCGTCGCGGATAGCAGCGACACCGCGACGGCCTTGGAAGCGTCCCTGTCGCCGCCCAGCACCGCTTCCCTGCTCCCCACACCAAGTCCTCCCAGCTCCAACCCGTCGCAAGCCACCACCGCCTCCCTGCCAGCTCAGCTCACAGCTTCATGTCCCGCGAGGAGCAGCCTCGGCCGCGGTGAGGACGGAGTCCAAGCGTATGTCAACCGCTTTTTGAAGCGGGTGGCTGAACCCGCCGGTGCCACCAGCAACCTGACCTCGCACTCCTTTCGCCGAGGAGGTGCCCAGCACGCCAACGGAGACGAGCGGCTAGCAGCGCAGTGGATCTTTGACCGCGGGCCATGGGATATGACCCGCACGAACAAAGGCTTTGCCTATGTCTTCAACACCCCCCCCCCCCCGCGAAGACCGAAAAGTCGCCCGAGTGCTGAGCGACTGGAGCGCCGACGAAGCCCCGGTCATTGCGGACGTTGCAGCGCTGGACCATGGGACGCAGGAACACCTGGCGCGCTTGGAGGAGCTGCTGTTCGGTTCCTGCATTGGACTGGCAGACGCAAAGCTAAACGTAAGTCGCAAGGTTATCGGAGTGCTGATGGCGTACCTGATCAAGTATTTCCCGCAAGTGAAGACGCTGGCGCCCGACACGCTGTTCGTTGCGCGTATCGAGGAATGCTTGGGAGCGGCTGATATCCCGGTCGCCGACATGCTGTCTTGGTCCATGTCAATCAATACGTCTGCTGCTTCGAGTCCTGAACAAGCACACGAAAAGTCGGCAGCAAAGAGCAACTGCTGTCATGCTGGGTGTCACCATTTGGCTGTCATTAGCGAGCTTATCGAGAGCAATCGGCTCATGTTTGCGCGCCTCCTCGCACTGGAGACGATCATCCTAAAGCAAGCGCCGCCTGTGAAGCGTATTGAAGAAGCATCAGAAGAGCAAGCGTCGTCAGAGCAAGCGCCACCCGCAAAGCGAAGAAAGAAAGCTGCTACGAACCTGTCCTCGCTGTGGTTCGAGTGGTACACGAGGCTGCCCCGTGTCTGGGACTCGAGCGACTGCCAGAAGAAGTCCGACTACCGCCTGGGCGTTGCGTACATGAAGCTCTTTCTTGACGGCGGATTCGTGCTGCGCGAGGATGCTGTCGACTTCAAAGATCTAGTCTTCGACGTAGGAAAACGCGCGGAAGCAGCGGTCCTTAGGTTCTTGAGCGAGCAGGGATCCCGAGCAAAAGGAGCTGGCAGCGTGCTGCGCGAGATACGCAAGCTTCATCGGTCTGGTGCCCTCGACAGTCGCATCGTGGCGTATCAAAGCCACATCGCCCTGGAAAGGATCGTCGACCCAGCGCCGGCTGCAACCCAAAACATACTACAAGTCGTCGGACACGTGTAAGGCACAAAGTTCGGGGCAAATACATATATTCATGAACAAATACAAGACAGTTAGCTTACGAACGCGCAGATCAAGGCCATGACCATCCTGCCAACCATCGTCCAGAGACCATCGGGCACTCAGCGCATCGCTCTCCATCCGCTCGTGGCCGCTTGCCCGGACCCAAACACTGCACACCTTGGAAGGCTCCCATCAATCGTGATTGGCGACGGCGGGCTTCGATCCCGCTCCTCAGGGCAAGCCCTGCGCTCATCCATTGAGCTTCGTCGTCGAGGGTGGAGCCTCCGGCTTGGCTTGCGGTCTGGGGGGTTCGGCTTAAAAAATCTAGACTGAAGCCGCGGGGCCTCTGTCGGCGTTGTCTCCGAGAGCTTGACTGCGTGGCGCTTTTCTATTGGCTTAAATAAAACCTCATTGAAGTTTTTAAACGAGTGGCTCTGGAAGAGAGGGTCACTCTTGTGAAGTGTAAATATCACTGTTTAAAGACAATCAACCCAAATAGTGGACCCACCACAGGATCCTGGCTCTCATTAATGAACTTGCCACCTCGAGAGCACATTGCCCCGAGTCGATTTTGCGCCTAGATGCAAATTGCCGTTTTTCTCGGCCCACAGGCCTCTAGAGGCGATTTCCTCGCGGCTGTGAGCACCGCATGAAAGCTGACAAGAATTGGTCAAACGGCCCCCTAGTCCTAATTTACCGTACATAATATCTAATTTCGGATTTTTCACTATTTCCGATTTTGCACTGGCTTTGACCAATTGCCTACTTGTCGGAATATGTAGAGAAGTCGGAACCGTCATGATATGGAGGCGATGCTGGCTAGCGGCACGGTGCACGCCGTCAAGGGGGAGGGTGCGCTCCCTGCAGCTCCGCCGTCGATTGTAAAGTGATCTGATTAATAGCCAATCATTACCTTTGTGGTGACTTTTGATAAAACCTCACCTGTTTGTGGTGACTTTTGATAAATATTCCCGGCTGTATATTTTGATGTACCTCCCACAGGAAGTACAACAAGCTCTCAAGATTTGCGCGCTACTTCTGCAAGCATATTCATACAAAGTCCAAGTCGTATCATTTGTAAGGGGTTTTGGTTGATATAGGATTTTGTATGGGGATTAGCTGTTCATAAGTTTTGTCACCTGGGCAGAACCAGTGATTTGTATGTGAGCTACCTGAAGAAGCGCAAAAGCGCGCGTGTTAGCAGCGTGCAAATCTTTATCAGCGTGTTCTGCAACTCTAACCCAAACCGCACCTTAAAACGATAAATAATGACGAAGTTACAGCCACTTTTGGTGGTGTCCATATCTTTTTGTCGTGGAGTGTAGTACAGTCTGTACAGTATCGAAGGAGACACCCGGCTTCCGTCAACAGCGACGCTGTTGCTTGTATCTATCTTATTGATACTGTGCATTTGTGCAGTACTGTAGTTCGGGCTTGGCGACATGCTTTGTGAATGAATTTGTTTCATGACAAGACTCAATCAGCACTTATTGACGGATATTTATCACTACTGACCTTGATTTCGTCGTACTTTATCAGTAGTGACCTTGATTTCAGAAGACGACTGCTGATTGGTCGAACGCCACTGCTGTCTTATCGAGAGTTCTGCGAACAGAGACCAGTTGTTTTCCTTCGCGCTATCGCCTTCCACGTCTAGCTGCCGCCTCGCTGCCGTCTAGCTGGTTACTGCTGTGTTGCGCAGGTGTAGTGTCTTTGTAGCCTAGTCACTTCATGACAGTGTTCTAATGCTTTTTACATCTCTCTTCTTCTGGATGTGTCTTAGCAATGCGCTGCCATGAAGCTTTTTGGGCTATTGTGGCTGTACACGGTTCGCCACACGCGAAGGCACTCGTGAATACACGACATGATGACTTGAAGAAGACGAACCTGTGGCTAATACAGGCGCTACCACAACATGGTAGGCAGCTCTGGCACAACATGGTAGGCAGTCCTGTAGGCGGCTCTAGCGTGACATGGTAGTCCGCCCAACGTTTAAAATGGCAGGCATCATTTGGAATAAACGAATTTGTACAGGGCTTAAGTTGTTTTTTTCTCTTATTTTTTATACGCTTCTTGTGTAAACTTGGCTTCACATTTTGGTAGAAGTACAATTTAGTAGAGCACGTTTTGACAATTTATGATTACATAATCGTTACCTGAAGATTATCGCACGCACCTCTCTCTCTCATTGGCCGAAATTCGAAATCAAGGTCACTACTGATAAAGTACGACGAAATCAAGGTCAGTAGTGATAAATACCCCTTATTGATTGTGAGCTTTTATGCAGAGTGAGGGGCCCTATCACCACAGATTTGAAACCTACCACCAGTGAAAAGGAAATCATCACCATTGATTCGGATGCAATCGCACACCATTAAATTGGCCCAAATCACCATTGGATTGGGCCGAATCACCACTATGTGCATTTGCAAACATGTTCACACTGTAGGAACGTTAATATTCATTCCGCACAAATATTTATAAAAAGAGAAGACCGGAAGCTCTCGTCGTGTTCTTGTTTGCAAATTATTTTTAGCGCAGACAAGAAACCCAAGTACGTCTCTTCACGAGCGTGGCATTCTTCGCTTCACTTAGTTGCCCTCTTCCTACGGTCCACAGGATTCCCGTCCTATTTGGCTGGAAGTATGAGGAGCCCGCCCACACAAGTGATAACTACAGTAAGTATTGTACTGATTATGTCGACAACTATGGCAAGTACTTATCTACGCCGTTAATTGTATGCAAACAGACCTCCGTCGGCAGCGGTCAACCTCGCCGACGTGGCGAAAGAGTTCCTTGGGTGGAAATATGGAATTCTGAAACGAGCAGTGACGCTACTCTCGACGAGTTTGTGGATTCGCTGCCCAGCCGCAGTCGTCAACGGAACGATAAAGTGCCGAGGTGTACTCTGGACCACGCAACCTATGATGAAGACGAGACCCTGATGACGCGGCATCCGATGCGCAGAATCATCACGGAGTGTACGTCAGCACGCTGTAGTGAGAGCGGGGCGAAGTGTCAGTGTCGGTACAGGATACTTGCTTGTGAATCCAGCTCTCTGGCGACAGTCTGCGTGGATGGACATCACACAATGCCTGATGCACCCGTCGAGTCACCCACAGCTAAGACCATCCCGATGTCCGACGCAATGAAGGCAGTCATCGACGAGCGACTATCGGATCACGTATGGTTTACTCCTGTCGACCTGTTAGGGATTTTGTGCAAGAAAATAAAGCGTCAGACGTTGGCAGGACCCGCACCAGTGTTGAGTCAAGTTCAAAGCTACGTCAAGAAGTGGAGAAAGGTTCACAAGCGAAAAGCTTTACAATCTGTTGTTGCTTTGTGTAGCACACACATGTACGACGCTGCAGAAGACAGACAAGTGACTAGTGATGAAATGATTCTTCTCTGTGACACCAAGACCGATGACAACCAGTTGGTTCCCAGTATTGGCACGGGCTCCAAGTTGTCGCCCTTTCGTATTGGAGTCACATGCCACGCCCTGCTAGAAACTTATGTCACTGTACAACGAGATCCGCGGTGCACGACGCTGCTTCACATCGATAGCACCCACAGCATCGTTAAACAGCGCAATCCCGTCTTCGTGTTTGTGGTTTCGGACTGCCGGTGTAAGTTTTTCCCGATTATTTACTTTTGTACTTCTCAGCGCACTGGAATTGATGTGGAATGGTGCATCAAGTTTACCAAGCGCATCGTCTGGGAGAAGTTCTTAGTCAGTTTTTCGCCAGCGTTTGGCATGTCGGACGCGGATAATGCACAATACAACGCGTGCAAAGCTGCTCTACCTGGCTCCAAGCTTTTAATGTGTTGGTTCCATGTCTGCCAAAATGTGAAAGACCTCACACAAGGCAAACTGGAAGCAGTGACCATTGATATGATTTTTCGCGACCTCAACAACCTCCACTACTCCCGAAATGAAGAAGAATATTTGAAGAGGAGGGAGAACGTGCTTGCTGCGTGGCGCGCAGCTTCGAAGTTTTGTGTGGCATTCCAAAAAGTAGCGGGTCACATCATTGCTCAATGGATTTTGCACCATCGTTTCAGCCACTGTCAAGCCTTTCGGACGCCACCAGGTTATGCGGCGACAAATAACCCGCTTGAACAGTACCATAAGACGCTCAAGCTCGTAAACAAGAACAAGAAAGCATGCCAATTGAAATGCTGGAGCGTTTGGACCAGTCTCGACTTGTGTTTCTTCAGATACAAGTGTCGTTCCAAAGTACTCCTGCAGTGTCTCAACGCTTAAAGGCTCTGTATTCCATGGCTGTACGCAAGCAAGAACTGTCGGTAACACCGATTGCTGGAGCAGATGATATCCCTCTCCAGTTTGTTCAGATTTTGCATCGCCCTCGTTGCCGATACGGTAACGCCGAGAGTCGTGCAGCAAATGATTTTTACGTCGAGCCGAAAAAGATAAATCTGCCGTTCAAGTCCATTCATGTACTGCGCATACAATGGCAAAGTATGCCGGTAGATGGGTGGTTTGTCAATGCGGCTTCGAGGACTTGCAGCTGTCGCTTCAGTGGCAAATTTGGTCTGTGTCTGCATATAATCCACGCAACACGCGAGCTTGGTCTACCTTACCCTGGAATGCCTGCACCAGAGCAAGATTTTGTCACAAATCACGCTCCACGTGGAAGGGGAACCAACATGACTGCGGAACGCCAAGGGCAAAGTGTAGCCGGTGCTACGAGCGACGAGCTCCAACCTCCTCGATTTATAGGTAACCAGCCTGTGTATGGGCCGTGGGCGCAAGAATCAACAAACAGCAACCAAATCCGAGTATGCGATGACGCAATTGGACCTCCATTTCGACTATCAGCTACAGCAACATCAACGCGAGATGGTACAATCATCAGCCCACGGATCCACAGTCACGCAACTATGCTGCCCTTTCAGACGTATGAGGATGGAATTCAAAATTGGAACACTCACCAGAGTTGGAGCGCTCATCAGGCAATGGAGATGCCGGTGGGTTCCTCCACCAGGCTGACAGTGCATCAAACAGCATATACCTACAGTCGCCCGTGGGGTCCAGATGCGCCCTTTGGTTACCGACCAGTAGATGCATATATTGCAGCGAACGGTGAGCCACTGCCCACCGATCGAACACCGAGAGATGAAGAGCGCGCTTGCATCTCTGCTGCACATGACGTGTTGCAGCCTCCTGCGCTTCCGTCGGGTTCGACATGGGATTTTCCTACTCGAAGCCCAACAGGTTTGTATGACGCCCCACTCTTCGAAGGCTCCGATGACGGCGCGAGAGGTCCACTTGCACACGACACTGGACGGCGCCCGGCAACATGGCCTGCCAGCAATTCAAATCGGGAATCATGCGATCAAACCAAGCGACGTAGGTTTTAGCTAGCTGCTGTAGGAGCGGCGTAACAATGCATGATAATTCGTATCAGTACGCATCACACTCATCCATTCACATACACAACGCTAATACAATGGTGGCAATAATGTGCAGTGCCATTACTGATACACTACACTGTAGAAGATTTGCAGGTGGTGATGTAGCCGAATAAAGAGGTGATGGAACCCTTTCTTATGGTGCTGCAGCCCGAATATCTGGTGATTTGGCGCCAGCCGTTTGACTGGTGCTTGGCACCAAATCTGTGGTGATGCGGCCTAAATCTGTGGTGGCGTACTCCAAATCTCTGGTGATGGGTCCTCTCCCTCTTTTATGCACTATCATCTCTGATGATACCATACTACAGTAGTAGGTGTACATACCAAATGCTCCTCATCGATAGGACTACATTCATCTCAGAATGTTGAGTCCAGGGTACATGTAGTACCCTGGGTACCGGTGTTCAAGCCTTAGTGCAGGACCGAAAGTCCTGTATTTTCTAAATCATGGGCGACTACCGCGGGCGCGTGTTGTTTCAACATGCGATCCGTAGGCGAGGCTGCAGCAGCGCGCAGTATCGAGTGTAGTTAGCCGACTAAACCGCAATAAATTAAAATGTATTTTCTAAATCAAAATATCCCAACTTTATTAGTAAATCTAATAAAAATAAAGTACAAAATCAACGTAATAGGGGGAGTCGAACATCTCAAAAACGCCAAAAATAATGAGCAAAACCGAGCCAGAATTCTGAGCAGTAAAGTGTCGAAAAGATGAGCCATTTTCGAGGGGGGAGTGGCATGTCGATCCCTCCATTTTTCGGACTTAGTCGAGTGGAGGGAACTTTTCCGCCATCTGTCCCACTACAGATCCCGACCAGTTTCTTCAACAAATGATGGTGTGTAACTTTGTAGGGAATACTGATTATGCAAGAGACATGCGATACCAAAGTTGATACTGAGAACAATGTAATTTGATGTAGCCCTTTCTAACAGCATTGAATAGCTAGAACGTGTATCACAGGATATTGTACAATAGAATAATTTGGAGGTATTTGTAGAGGAGGGAACAAAGAAGGGAATTGCTTGTCTCTGAAATGAGCTGCTCATTTCAGAGATAAGCCACCTCCGGAGGTGGCTTGTTTCAGAGTTAAGCAAAATGCTGTCGAGATTATGAGCACGGCCAAGATCATAACTTGAGTACGTGTTTGGCAATGTTCGACTCCCCCTAATAGTGCCGCCACGGTGGGGCTTTTGAGCAAGACAAACGCGGCGGTTCATCGAGGTGATTTGTACACGGTGACTTAGCAAGGACGTTCATGGGAACGGCGGGGCACCAAGTGAGATGGTAAATCGGTAGGCCACTAAGCCAAGCTGATGGCTGCCGAGGCTGTCCTTTGAGACGTAATCGCAGACACACCACCGCCAACGTCACCACGAGCTGTGATGATTCCCACGCCGCTGTGCTCACCTAAGAGCCCCAGACGCGTCGCATGTGCGCTCAAACCTGCTACCGCCGTAGGCGGCCGAACATGGAAGGATGTTGTGCTGGGAAGAGCAGCTACGACCGAAGCGAACGCTCTGGCAGCATCACCTGTCCAGCCGCCAACTTTGGTTTCGCGAAGCTCTCGATGTCTAGCTGTCCCTCCTCTGCCAAGTGTCATGCCAGTTCCGCCGTCACTAGCTTCACTGGACGTGTCTATTACGCTACCAGAGCAAGAACCGGCGCCGCTGGTAGTATCTGCGGCTAGCCCAGCTGCCATCGGACCTTGGCGAAGATCAAGCAAGTGGTTGGACGGTAGAGTTCGAGTCGTCTGAAGACGACTTAGAAGAGCCTATCCTGAACGAAAAGCTGGTGTTTGTTGATCGAGTGGAGTTTGAGACGACAGAGGCGGCGAGACTCGGAATCGATGGCTACGGTGGATATCTGTACGCATTTGCCTACACTTATGGCAACCGAGGTGATAGGATGGATGGTAGAAGCGTTTATCGCTGCATTTCGCATGAAAACTGTGAAAAGCGGGTTCGTTTGGCGCCGTCAAGGGACGAGGACGTGCTGACATGTTGGCTTCAAGACACAGGTATGCACATGGGAGCTGTTACCGATGCTAAGAAGCGAGGGATCCCTGGTTTTTTTCTTCGGGAGGTGGACGACATTTTGCTGGGCTGTGGCCCCAAGAAGTGCAGGAAAATACTTTTCGATCGGGATATCGACATACCTAGTCGCTACGGGTTTGTTCCTGGTGAAGCACAGCTAAAACAAAACAGGAAAGCAACACTCATGAAGTGGCGTGCAGGTGAACATCAACATCAATGCGTTTGTAACTGTAAGCTGTATGTGAAGTTCACATTGTGAACTTAATACATTTGTGTGTTGGTAGGTGGCTGCGAAATTTAAAATGTTGCGGGGTTGCTAGAGTGGACTTCAATACACCTGTGCACGACGAGTGATGAGTTCTTTCCGCGCGGTTCAAGCAGCGCATCTAATGCTCCATTCGATCGGCAGCATGATTTCGCAGTGTTCGACTCTATGGACAAAGATCTCAAGCTCGGACCGTTGGTGCTTGAGTGCTTCTCGCACGAAGTAGCTCTACTGTAGATGACGGGAAAAAGCGGAATGCTGCGGTCTCATTCTGACGTCACGCGCCATCTTCTGGAACGTGTTAAAGGCGGAAAATAATTAATACCTGTTGTTCCAGCACTGTCGAGCCGTTGGTACCGTACAGCTCCTATTGACCTGTCAAGGACCCTGGTCAGCTGTTGTTTTCCAACAGATACTACGTAGTATTTTAGATTAAATGCCAGTTGCAAGCTCAAGCTGCGATTCGCGCGCATACTTGCTCTTGGAAAATTCAAAACCACCTCATCACAAGCACTTCAGTCATAGGTACATCGGCCACTCCCATAGCCAGTAAGTTGCAAATGGACTGCTCTTTTCTGCTGAAGAATCAATGGAGAGCAGAAGTAAAACCAAAGCGCTGTAGGGTCGTGTAGCAGAAGGTAGTGAGCGATTGCAAGGGCACGTAGCAGAAGAAAACCTGGTACTGTACTCGCAAATTAGGGCCGCGCGGAATTTCGAGAGGTGGAAACCATTGCCGAGCATTCCTGCGAATGGGCCTGTTCCCGCAACTCGGAGTAAGATTTCCTATTGCTGGGGTCTAGGGTGTGTAAACCACAGTCCACACTCATCTCAGGAGAAATCCATAAAAAAGTAGCAGGTTAAACAGAAACCAACAGCTGAACAGGGTTCATGACAGGCGAACAGGGGCTGTAGGTGGGGAACAGCTGAATAGTGCTAACGTAACAGCTCATAAATATCACCCGTTAAAGGCATATAACGGCCAGAACGAGGATGGAATCCTCGGTGTCACGGACGGAACGTATCGCTTGCATTTTGGTAAGGCATCCTAGTACTTGATCGGTTTATTTGTTTAATACCCAAAGACATTTCCGTTCGAAATGTGGAGCTTTACTGCCTCTCTATCCACCACGTGAAGCTACTGCACCAGGAGACTATCACGAACTTTGTCCCATCAGCGCGTGTTTCGCTTGAAGAGGTGCGAATTTGCTAGAATGATGACATGTCAACTCGTTCAACTAACGTTTTGATGCAGATTCAGGCTGTCCGACGCAAGTACGCGTGCGATTGTGCAATGTTTGCCCAAACGGGGTGGCAGTGCTCTCATGTTCTCGCGGTTATGGTTCTGCAAAAGGAAATCAACGTGAGTAGACTTCTCACTGCACTACCAACGCGAAAAGCAAGTGGAGGTCAAAGGAAGGCAAAAAGCTGCCTTGATAAAGGCAATGACGAGCACCAGTTCTCCGTCGATGTATTGATCAAGCGGTATCTAAAGCAGCACATGTACCCACTCCATTGGCACGTCATGCGGGATTTCGACATCAGGACCAAGGCTGGAGTGTCCAAACGCGAGAGCTTCTGTGGAACAGTTGTGTCGTAGGGTGATAACGACGGTGTGTACTACTGGGCAGTCCAGTTCCCGAAACTCAAGGAAACTCTGAGACTTGAGTGCCAAGAGCTTGCTGAATGCACCCACGAAGCATACAAGCACGGTGTAGATGTAACTGGGCTCTCATCGGCCGAAGCTGTCGTTTAAATTTCAACGGTCCAAGGTTATACCTATCAATCGTATTAGTACCTGCCCAACTTGGCTCTACGCTTCAGTCCCGATAGCACACTCCCGTGCTTTTTCACCTTGCTAAACCGCCTCTCTGCTGTAAAGACTCGACAGACATCCTTTTTTCTGCATCCTTGACGAACCACAAAAAAAACTTGATAATAAGCCCGTCCCGTGCCGCCAAAGCCATTATTTGTGCTTTTGAAGAACTACGAAGCCGCCGCATACCGCCAACAACTTCAGCCGTTGTGGTGATGGGCGGCCCATGATGGTACCGGTATTGGCTTGCCCGCGGCCTCGGGGTCTACCCACTCGTCATTCCCACGTCGTGGGAGACCCAGGGCAGCATGCCGAATGTAACGCAGTGCGTTAAGTAAATTACGGAGACCGTAAGTTTACGAGACGGATTACGGGGGCTAAAGGTAAAAAGGTTACGGGGCGGTTTACGGGACAGTTTTCATATTTAGATTTTGGGACGCTGCCCGCAGTGCCCGGTAATCTAATTTTCATTACTCTGCAACGGGTGGACAAGAGGTGAGTCGCTAGTCTAGGATACAAAAGAGTACGGGCTTTAAGTTCCGAATATCACTTTTCAATTTGCTCTCGAGCGACCAACTACATTATGTCGAATCTCTCTGGCATCTCCTCCGACAAGATGGAGTTGTTGGCTCATTGGTGGTGCGTTGATGGAACCCTGGACGAGCGGCCGTGTTGCCGACGTGACTAAGGAAAATTGTATTTACTCTGCACGAAGCTCATCAGGGAACCTGACAACAAATCTATGTGGCACGGCTCTCCATCACCGTAACGAAGTCGTGCCTACGACCCGAAGAAGCTCTGAAATTTGAGATGTCTAAATTTATCGTTTCATTGGTACTAGAGAATTTGAGGAAAGAAGACAATGCTACATGTTATACTATACTACATTTCCACGCTATTCAGAGATCAAGCTCATTTTCCGCGCCAAGAGCGACTTCACTAACTTACTCCACGTCGCCACCTCCGTCTCGCAGTTCCTGGACTCGTCGGTCGAGTTGGCGCTGCACAAGCTCAGCTCGTTCGGGTCTCTGCGGCTCCTGGAGCGCAGCTGGGTCTCCTGCCAAAGAGTACAGCACCCAATGATGGTCGTAGTGGCTGATTTGTTCGATGTTGTTCCACAAGAACGACAATACTTTGCTCATGCTACGAACCTAAGCGATCGGTTCGACCAAACGAGGTTATTATGGGGACCCGGGTGGTGGATCCGGGGGGTCTCGCAGGTCGAAGCTAGCTTGTACGGATGCCCTTACAGGGAAACGACGTACTCGGGCATCGCCTGCTTCGCAGCCGAAGCATCTGCATCTACTACTGTACAACCAAGTGTACCAAGTTTGATTGCTTCTTTTCAAAGGCATTGCCAGTTCGCTCCAAATAATTGGTACTTCAACTCTTGGGTTTGACAAACCCAACGTGGTGATTCTACCTTCTCCTGCTCGTTGGATTAGGACTCCACAGATTTAGTTTTAACTTTAGTTATTTTGTAGTTAGTAGAACGGTTATCAACAACTAGCTAATCAACGTAATTTTATTCCTTCCTGCCTTTAAAACGTGCGCTGATGCCCAGGCAGAATCCTATATTTCTTAGATTGCATGGTGTGCTCGGAAACTTACAGGCGGCGAAAAAACAGAAAAAAACACGTGCACTCTAAATATTTAGCGCTTAAAAAAAGTAGTTTTTTTTATGAATGGGGAACATGAAACGGAATTCAGTGTCCGATAGTTGAAGGTGAACTGTTGTCCGTGAGAGTGGCTTTTGCTGCATCATACAGCGAATGATTCGGCTGTCGAGTTGACCGTTGCGCTCTCGTCGAGATAGCACGCGTCCAAGACCCCGTTCGTGGTATAAGTTCCGGTTTCCCAGATCATGAAGGCCTTCACTGTTTTGTCGAACTTGGCATCGTAGAAGTAGAGCGCGCCGTCAGGAGACCCGGATCTCACTGCATGGCGCGTCTGGCAGCTTGGATTGTTGTAGAAGACGACGTTGGTGTTGCGCTTGACCCCCTGCCACGTCGCCGATATGTTGGGCCCTTTGAAGCAGTTGTAGATATTGTAGCACCTCTGCGTCACCGCGTCGATGTTGATCGTACGCGGAGTATCGCTGGGCTTGCCGAACAGAGTCAAAGTCATGCCCTGGACGCAGAGGAACATCAGCAAAAACACTGCAAAAATCTTCACCAGCATTGGGGCCATCAGGGTGACACTGGCTTTTGCTAAATGACAGTCAACTAGCGTTTCGCGTAACCTTCTAGCCAATGAATCAAGCCCTACCCCATACTCTCCTTCGGAAGTCGACGGCAATTATGAGTACACTTCAACCGGAGTTGCTGTTATTATTGTTCGTACGACAAACTTTCGTGAAAGGAAGTGTTCGAGCTAAAAACATCTCGGCTAGTAAAAACTAACACTTCCGTTCGACGAGCTGTCTCCGCTGTCCAGACTCGTCGAGTTGGAGCTGGCGTTAGCTCTCCGTAGGGTGGCAGATTCGCAGATATCATGAAGCCAGCAATTTGCTTCAAGTTTGATAAGTTAAGACTGAGGTCTAGCAGATCTCGATCGCGTGTAGGAGTTGGATACACCGGGTGTTTGTCCTTCGCGTTGACGATGTCCGCCCGGACTTCCTCTCTTGCAGGAACCGGGGAGTACAGAAAAGTAGGAGTGTTTGATAAAACATGGCGCCGGATCGCCTGAATATCTAACAACAACAAAAACTCCCAGCTTCGATTCGACCAAGTGTGTTATTGCCATTTATCACGTATTAAACTGAACGTGCCGCATTCATGTAGCATTAGGATGATCTGAACTAATATCGGTATCAATGTACTTTGAAGTTGTTTTAACATGAACAGGATAAAGTAGAAGATTATTCTACAGTAGTAAATGGTATCGGTGGGTCTCCGCCGGTCGCAATGTAGTTAAGGCAAGCTTAATCATGCAAAGTCTTCGTAGATAAAATGCCTAAGCGAGTGTAGATTTTTAATGGCCCCACACGAGCCATTTATATCTCGATTGATTTGAACTATACTTCTCCCGATTTCATACACGGTCGTCATTCTTTTTGCTGTAGCTTTTAGCCTTTTTTCCGGAGAATACATAACCCTAGGTGCCGTTCTTTTGAGTTTCCGCTGAATGAATTCGTTCGCCACCGTATAGGACGTCACTGCATTGCCGGCGGATAGATTTGGCTTTGGATAAAAATATGTTGAATGAAAAAAAAATCAAGCTATACTTCCCATCTTGGATCGCATAAACTTAAAAACGTTAAGTAGTTTATGCGAAGTTGTAGTGGAATGTTTTATCTAATCCATCCAGACACATTCCAATGAGTGTGGGAATTCACACAATATCAGCTTGCCGACAAATTAAGTCACGGCAAACTCAGGTGACCAAAAGATTTTCAATAAATCTCTATGCATGCAGAAGAAAATCTGTGTCTGAAAGAGGAGGGTATAAGTTATGACCCAAGACTGAACAGATTGAATCGATAGCTTTAACACTAATGAAATGAGTGAGTACTATGTTGAGTGCTGTGGATCCGCATGCAGTTTAATACGATGCAGTGATGTGGTAATGACACCAGTTGTGCTCAAGGTCAGCATCGAGGCTTCTAATTGTCACAGATGCCATTACTACGACGAACAACGTCCATGTTCATAACGTTATCTGTGCAATAGCAAGAATTGCATTCTTCCAAACAATAAAATGTTTGTGCTGGAGCTCCACTCCTCTGGCATCAATCTAGAAGGAAAAGCTCCGAGGCGAATAGGCATCTATCAAAAGCTGTAAGTGCAATTCAGACCGGATTCTATTGAGTGCTGTATAATGTTGTGTGAATGTTGTTTGATGTCATCCGCACGGGGGTGAAGTGACGAATGTAGCGTGAATGTCGTTCAATGTCATCCAAAAACCTTCCCCAATCGACAGTTCTTCGAACTGCGAATTTTTTTCGGACATCGAGCCCATTGGAGTCAGGATGTGGATGAGGGGAGTGGCGGCAATCCGAATCACGTCACAGATGAAAGAGCAGAAGCGAGTCTTGCGATTCACACCGCGGCAGCGACGGGCATCTACAAGTTGCGAGATATTTTTGAGCGCGGGCGCTTGAGACCGCTCTCCAGCGCACGGAGGGGTGGGACAGATGCTTCAGATCTGAAGCTGTCAACTTGTGCGTTGTGCACGACGGCCAGAGTCACTCTCGATACTGTGGCCGGAGCTGGAAAAATGGTCATGCTCAAGTCGTGCGATGGCTGTGGGAGGGATTTTTCGTGAACAGAAAGAAATGCTAACGTGTTCGACACCGAAAATGAAAAGCTGGTATTAATGGTGCAATTGCTGCGCGGTGGGCATGTGAAGGTGCTCGAAGCGATTCAGACTTGCTGTAGCGCCGATAGTAGGAAACGCAACTGAGCAGGTGTAGCCATACGTTGTGAAATGGCTACGCGTTAATTTGATCGCTGGTTGTACGACTCAAGGAATGAATGAGGCGGCGACAAATGGACATTGTCACGTAGTCAAGTGGCTGTACGGTGGTAGCAATGGATGGAGCTGCAAAGGGACATACTAAAGCTACGTGACAAAAGTACTAGAGTTACTTGGTGGTACCCATATTTTGGTACACAATTCGTAAGCTCTAGCAGTTCTGATGCTGAAGAATCTTCAGTGCCTAGGGGGCTCTTGCCATCCTGCTTGCACCTTGACAGCGATACTTGATGCCCACCAGGACTACAGGTAATATCTGGAACAGCTATAATAGATGCTAAGTTCTCCGATAAACAGCTACACGTATAGCAAAACCGCTTGTTGGACAAACAGCAGCGAACTCAGCGACGTTGACACAACGATGACTTCTTTGATGCGCTGCGTGTTTGGCGGTGAGGTATATGAGCGCGTGCTCTCATTTTCGGTGCATCGTTGCGGCTCCTTGATGAGTATTTGTATCCTTACCTCAGCCCCTTTTTCCTGGTAAGGAGATGGTTGGTCATTCCGGATGTTCATGGGCGAGCAGAATGGCTTCAGTCACAGCGAAGCTTACGAGGGAATCGGGCGTGTTTGTTTGTCGTGTGTCTTGGCGAATTGTTTGTAGGAAGATTACAGGTTCTACAGCAACCGACTGGGAGTACCAAAATCTGGGTACCTCTAAGTAGCTCTAGCAATTTTATCACGTAGCTTTAGTAAGTCCCGGTCATTTGGCGATTGAGAAATGATTGCACTGGAATCAAGCCGAAGGTTGCACTAAAGCGGCCATGGACCTCGGCCCGTTTCATGTCGTGCAATGGCTCCACACTCATCGCTCAAAAGGCTGCACAAACTTTGTCGTAAACAACGTGGTAAATCGCGGGGATTGAGAGTTGCTGTGGTTCCTGCACTGCAACGCAAACAAGTTTGCACACTGGAGACTGTAAAAACATTCTTGAGTTGTGATGGGGCTTGAAATGCTTGTATCACATCTTTTAGCCTTATTCCGTAGCTCATCGTTTGGGTCATGACACGGAAACTCCACACGTAGAGCAGGAATAACGTAGTTTTGGCACTTTCATTGCTATTGTTAGCTTTGAGTTTTACAACAAGTGTCTGGCTATCTCGAACAGGATCTACTTCTTCTTCCAAGTACTTTTAAAATCACAGTTTGGTTCGTACTGACACATGTTGCGCAAAACGTTTTGCAATCCTTTGTATGGCTTTGTGTTCCTTGGCAAAAAAAATATTTATCAAAAACAAAATGCCTGTCGATACTACAGCGGCTCCAGAAAGTCACCGCCCACATAGTATACAGCTAATATATTTGGCAACTGCTCACGAACTAGATCATATTTTCCTGTCGGAGAAACACGAGCGGAACCGCAAAAGGATAAACTACAAGTGAAGGTCAATGAATAGGAAAAACGTAACGTTGGTGTATTTTTATCAGGAAAAATCTGGCAAAAATTACAAAACACGGTGATAAAAATCACCGCCCACCTCGTTCCCATACAAAAATCAAGTCACAAATCAGTACTTCGTGTGAGCCCCCTTGCTGGCGATCACAGCGTCCAGGCGAGTCGGCATGGAAAGCATGCACTTGCGAATGACATGTCCATATCTCAAGGAGCTTTACCTTGAGGTCCTCAATAGAGGTTGCTGGCTGGCGATTCAGCTCCCGCTTTATGATCGCCCACACATTCTCAATTGGGTTGAGATCTGGACGAAGTTGGTAGGCTGGGGTAGACCGAGGAGCTGGCGGGTGATCGGGATCTCCTGTTGAAGCAGGTGTCGGTAGTAGGCGCCGTCCACGGACTTCTCGCAGAAGTGCATCGTGCCGACGCCGTCTGCTGAGATGGAGGACCACACCATCAACGACTTGCGGCTGGACTTGAAGGTCGGCACGACGCACTTCTCATGGAAGGCTTCATGTGTCCGGCGCCACACCGAGACACGACCGCTGGTACCGTGCAGCTCCACCGATGCCTCGTCTGTAAAGAGGACATTGGCCCAGTCGTCCTTCTCCAGATGAGCCAGCCTCTTTGCGTAGGCGAGGCGCTGCTTGCGGTGCTTCTTGGAGAGGTAAGGTTTCGTCCTAGCAGAGCAGCCGTTGAGGCCGGCTGCGTTAAGGCGGTTGCGCACCACCTGCGGCGACACCACGCGGCCAGTGTCCTTGGAAACTGCAACAGCCAGGACCGCCGCGCTTGAGAACCGGTTGGTCTCAGTGTCTCGGAGAATGCGGCGGTCATCGCAGGCAGTAGTGAGCCGGGGGCGGCCTTGGCGCGGAGCTACGACACAGTGGTCATTCAACTTGAAGTGTGCGATAATATCGCGCACTGTCGAGCGGGCCATCTCCTGCTCCCTCGCGATTCTAGAGTAGCTGTAGCCCTTCTTCCACTTGCTAACGCAGAGATAACGGATCTCGTGCGAGTGCTGGCGACGTCCTTGGTCCATAGTTGAGCTTGACTTGTTCCAAGTGAGGTGAATAGGAGAATGAGAGCAACTAGCGCGGCAACGATCGCTGCGTTGCCGCCAAAATGCATGGCTTCGATCGAGCAACATTCGTGCAACATTGTGACCCTCGATACAAAATTTTATATAATTGGCAAGAGGCCAGCCACTGGGCGCTCACTATATTTGCACCTTGTTTTGAATAAACGGTGATTGGCGGAACACTTCCCGCGAACCGATATTATTGGCTAATGTTTTCGTCTTGGGGTTCGCTGGCGGTTCTACTCGTACCCGCAGCACTGCGACCCGATTAGGGTTGTCTAGCTATTGCCCAAAATCGATGTTGAAGTTGCCTGGGCGGTGACTTTCTGGAGCCGCTGTACTGCTTACTTTTTGCTTTTGAGCCAGCTGAATGAAAAGCTGTAGTCGCTTCCTGTGGTGCATTTATATAATGTAAGCCTTCATACAGCTCACCACAACATTTTTACGAGCGTTCTTACCGCTATGTTCTAGGGAGCTTTCAATTGTGAAGGAAATCCAGAGGCACAGGTTTGCTTGCACCATTCGCCAGCCTTTATCCAAGACGAACGAAATCAAGCGTAGCATGGAAATTCTCTGCTTTCGTTGAATCACGTAGCCGATTGTCAGTAACGACACAAACTCTAGCGCCGTATACGTAAGCACACTATCGATCTTCTCGTGAAGACCAACTTCATCAAGTGACTTGAGCTGCAGGTAATAGGGTCGATTTGGTTAAAAAAACATTGAGACCGTGTAGGTACCTGTACGCATGCCATGAAGTAGATCAATAACACCGTAACAATAAAAAATAAGTAAATAAAGAAATACAGAAACCAAAGAAAAAACAATATGCTTACAGTAGATTAGAGGAACGATGATCTCCGTGTACTCGGTGAGCATGACGAACTCCGTAGTGAAGAGAACCCGGGCTGTCTTGTGCACAAATAGTTTTCGTTCTTTTGATGAGAAAACGTTCATCAGCAGATTCCTTTCGTCCAATAAATCTTCCATTCGTGGCTCCGGGTGCTGTGCGGGTCTCACCATAACTGATGCGCCTTGTGCAGCCGCAGGTGACACTTGAACGGAAGCTTTTGTAGCCCGACCGATAGAACTGATGTCACCCTCACTTTCGACGCGACAGTTTCGTAGTATCGATACCGGAGAGTCGTAGCGGCAATCGCCAAGGTAGGTCCGTGCTTGGTTATCTTCCTTGGTAATTTGCAACGCGATATCAATAAAGCTGGCTGACTTCAAAGCGTGGTTGACTGGGATCTTACGTCGCAAGGTGTCCATTTACTTCATCATTTTACTGATGTCTGAGATGGACACTAGCATTTGAACCACGTCGAATATCAACACGAGACAGGTCGTAGAAAGACTGTTGGAGACTTTCATGGAGCTCGAAACGTGCAACCCATTGAAGACGTCGACGTTGAAGATCATGATCTGGGGCAAAAAGGTCAAAAGCGGTACCAGACGTTGCGCTCATCAAATTTTAAGCCATGATCTTGATTATTGGAAGCAGTAGGACGTAGAACCTCTGACCGGATTCTCCAACCGATCCGAAGCCGTATAAGTACAAGGTGTACACAATCGTCAGTAGAACCTGGGAATTGAGCATCACGATAGCTTTGAATAATACCCCCCGCAATGCGCGATCTCGCATTAGGATCCGGCCAAAGAAACCCATAAAGCAAATGCCGAGTGCGAAGCTGAACGCCGGGAATCCAAACATGAGCTGGAAAGGGATCGAGAAACCGATCCAACTCGAGAATGTCATGCGGTAAGCTGTAGACGCTAGCATGGCGACGATCGATAGAACGAGCCGCTGCGTGGAGGTTATGTTCAGACCTGGAACGCCGATGTGAATCTGCTCCATGATGGCTCTCGTGGGTAGAATCCCCGAGATGAAGTTTCGGATCCAGTACATGTAGTTCGCTGTGGAACCGTCGCTTGGTGATGCCAATGGTGCAGCTTCTATCATTGCGAAGAATACTAGGCACGGCAGCGGCAGGATGAAGCAAAAGAGGAGAGCTCAAAATACCGAAGTGGTGCGGTGGTAGTTATTAAAGTCTTGCATGCGGTTCACCGAGTAGTGCCCTCGTAGATCCACTTGGAAGCCGACGAAGGACCTGAATATTCGATGCAGAACGTGGCGAAGACTTTGCATCCCTAATGCACACATACGCGTTAATCTCTAGCAAGTCACGAATGAACTAGCTCCGACGAGGGTGTTTATAGCATGAGACGGTGGCTTTAGCTACTTGGTGCCAATGTGTCCAAAAGAGTTCTGAGGATATAAAGCTGAATTCAGATCACTATTAATACTTCGTGCAGGCACATAATTATTTTTAAAAAAAAGTCGTGGACCCACCTTAAAAGTATAATTCCGTATTTCAAACAGCTTAGACCACCCCTAGTCTATGTTGTGGATCCCTGACTCCTTCAGTTGTATCATGTACGTTGAGCTCGACACCTATATTCAGCAGTGTTCCAAACATGCAATGATGTTGAGACAATTGAACCGCCAATAGCCCCATGTTAAGTATCAGAGGTTGACTAATTATCACCTCGTATTCGTTTCTGCTACCAACTAGGACGGGCGGGTCATCACCCCGCTCTATTAGTTGCCGGCTAATCCGTTTGAGCCCTTCAGCGCTCAAGCCAATGCCGAACCCCCAACCATTCGGCATCTTTGTGATTTTCCTGAGCTCAAGAACATCCGACCACGGATCCAAAAAGACTTCGACATTGTAGTTCTCCGATACGCGGTCACATTCATCATCGTTGGCTGTAGCAAAGCCAACGTCGTCTTCTGAGCCGCCGACGCAAGCAATCACAGGGAAGTTGTAATTGGTACCACTCCCAGTGCGGGCAGCGTTCATCACATTTGTCTTCTTGACAGAGGGGCCAGTCGACGTCACTTTGAGATAAATGTCGACGCCAGGGCTGTAGGTAGACGTGTTCGTTACTGCTGAAACCAGCACAAACACGTCACTGTCGTCGAAAATCTCGATTCTTGGTTCGTCTTCTTGGGGTTCCTTGGATTTGGCGGAAGCCGTGGCCAGCAGCGCAAAAGATGCGAGAGGGAAGGATGAGGAGCACATGTGTGTCGGGAGTTGAGAGCAGCTTGGTGAGTGCTGAGTAACTTTGAGAATGAAGCCTGGTTAGCAATGCTGACTCAGTAGAACGATTATGATCACGGGAACCAAAGAGACAAATGTTCACTACTGAAGAAAGTGATCACGAGCCAAATGATCACCCCTAGCAGTCCCGATACACGGGTACATGTACAAAATACTTAGAGTACATGGAATGCACATTTGTCTCACCTCACTTGAGTGATCATTTGGCTCGTGATCACTTCGTGAACACTTAGCTCTTTAGTTCCCGTGATCATTAATCGTTCTACTGAGTCAGCATTACTAACCAGGCTTCATTCTCAAAGTTACTCTGCACTCAATCGACACCGCTCTTCAACCTCCCGACACCCATGCGCATCTCATCCTTCTTTCTCGCATATTTTGCGCTGCTGGCCACGGCTACCGCCAAATCCAAAATCCAAGGGGTCCCAAGACAACAAAACAAGCGACAAATGGGCTGACGACAGTGACCTGTTTGTTCTGTTCTCAGCGATTACGAACACGACTACCTACAGCCGCGATGTTGATACTTATCTCCTCGTGAGGGCCACTGGCGTTGCTGTCGAAAGAAGCGCGTTGACCGTGGCGTGAGTGGAACCAAGTACACTTTTCTTGTGTACGCATGTGACGTAGGATCCAAAGACGAAGTTGGAATTGCGTGGGACTTCAAGGGCGAATGCGAAACAAACGAGTACAAGGTCGTGGTATACTCGTGGTCCTGGACGGGAGTTCTTGAGCTACGTCAATCAAGCAAATGCCGCAAGGGTGGGCGCTTCATGGAATATAAGGAAGGGTGTCTGCAAAGAGTTCCATAGTCTTTGCGTAATCGGTTTCGAGATGCTAAGACAAATAGAGCGCTGACTGAGGAGGTGGGTGGCTCTGCTAAATGTAAAAGTCGAAGTCTTTGTCTTAAACTAGCCAAGCGCCGCCGCTGCCGGCAATAAGTTAGTTAATAGCTACATGACGATGGCGTCCTAGTTATTATCGTGCGTTGCACGATAAGGTTTTCGAGGCCACAAACTATCCGTATTCCGTAAGACCCATATACGCTGGGCCACGAAGATGTTTGGAACCCCTTCTCGACACCAAAGTTGATAATGTGGCCCGAACCGATGACTACTGTACTCGTGTTCAATTCCATGTCTGGACTTACTCGAAGTAACGCCGTTTTTACTCCAGCCTGTTCGTTAGACACCTGTTCCATCAGTTAGGTCGTAGTTTGTTTTCGATGTTTTCCAGTTTCAAGATGATCTACAGACACGACGAAAATATCCGGCAACGCAAAAGCTCAGCAGACAACTTTGTGCAATGGAAACAATATCTTCGTTTTCGTTTTCAGGGATGAAAAAATGTTGTTATCATTTTTTGCAGGTGAGGTATAGAGTGAGCTGTTATCATCGACAAAAACTCTTGATTTTTCGATTAAGGCCTGATTACGAATTATACCCTTTAATATTGAGCATAACCTGATGCGCATACCAATCCATACGGTTGCTATATTTGGGCACAGCTCTAAGCACCAGGGCGAATCTCGACTGCTCGCCCAACAACAATTCCAGATAGTCAGGGTATCATCAGAGGCAGCAGCGCTCCAGAACATTGATGGCTTGAGATCATTGACGACCTACCACAGCACTTCGCGCACATGCACAGTCTGTGCGATCATCATCGACCAGCACGGGATGCGCTCCAGGGTGTATTACTACAACATGCAACGCCGAGGCTCACCAGTGTGTACTTACTGGCTGAAGGTGCTACGGTGCGAACCGACAGGAGTAAAGTATTCTATGCTGATGGAAAACACCGGTTAAGTGTCGCCTCCCAACGTCGATATGTCATTACTCGTCAGATGAAGGACGAGATCATCCGACTATATGTAATTGACCAGAACTACACCCCAGCCAACATTCTTAGCATTCCTTCGGACCTTAAGATCATGGCGCACACATCTTGAGCGTACCTATTCGTGAAGTATGTGACTTCAGATCTCATACACCAGTGTTTTAGTAGCAGTTTACAAAATTTAGTACTAATTACTCTTGACCAGTACATTTGCACCAGTGCAGAACTCCTCAAAGGCAAACTATTCACGCACCAGACTCAGTACAAATCTATAAAAGCCCACTTAAAAAAATGGAGCGCTAACAGTTTTCACCAACGTCACGTGGCGCGACCTCTACGCTATCCGAAGCATGCAATACGTGTATTAGGCAACGAGGGCGACCGATCATAGTAAGCTTGTGGGGTCGACTTCGCGCAGCTCCTCATACCGGCGCTAGCTGATGTTCAACAGTCAGCGCTTGGAGATCCGCTCCTCAGGAACAAGCTCGCGGCGCAGTGCGCATGAACCTACATAACTGCGAACGCGTGCAGTCGCTGCAGCTGTGTCGGCGGGGATTTACAGCTACCGCAAAGAGTGTTGAAAGCTGGGCACTATCAGCCTATACGGAAAGACTGTGGCCAAACAAGCAATAGTTTCGTGTTATCCAAACCATGAATTACTACTGGCATGGGTCCCTGTAGTGATCTACGACCCACAAAGCGACGTACGTGGCAGGCCGCAAGGGACATTTCAGTCTACCTTAGCGTACAAGCGTTATTATAATATAATGACCACATATGTGGTCTTGGTATGCTTCCGATCAGCGCTATCAACTATTATGGTGGTCCAGCCCAAAGCTTGGTGTTTTGAATCAAAACACCGGGATCAAACTTTGATCCAAATCTCTGGTGCGTTGAGCCACCCAAATCTCTGGCGATGAAATCCTTTTTTGGGGTGGTGAGGTCTACATGCCTGGTGCCAAAAAAAAACCACTCAATATCGATGAGTAAACCCGGTGCCATGTTTGACTGTGTTTGTATCTTCTTCTTCTAACATTCCTGTTCTCTGTAGGCGTGATGTATGTAATATCACTGCGGACAAGACATGACCTGCTACTGTAGTACATAGCTCTTCTGGCGCCGAGGGAGTAGTGGCAAGTCAGCTTTTGATGTTATGTTTGACTACAATGTGGACTTATGCACCGGTGCTTAAATCAAAAGTATACTTCAAAATATAAATAATAGAGTCGAATACATAATATGCACACCTGCTGGTAAGCAGCATCTGCGCTGGAGTCCATCCCTTACACACAGATGTTCTGGGTATTAGTCGACAGCTCAACGCATCGTCGAGTTTTCAAGATTCTTAGTAGACCATTTCTGTTTCCTCGTGAGGTATATTGCGTTCGTTTAGCACTATGAGCCCTAACGAGAAATATTGTTGTCGCTTAACTTCTTTGGCTAAACAACAAAGTCCTCGCCAGCCGATCAGATGAAATAGGTTGATTTCATCTCTGAATATAATATGCTGTAGCTTATCTGGAGCGGTAGTGATATACCCAAAGGTAAGCTAAAAAGTTCTGGGCACCTTTGTATATGAGCTCGAGGGAGCAAGTACACTGTCAGGAAGAACGTGCGCCTACGGTGGCAAGCTGTACGCTAGCTGAATAGTAAAACGAAACTGATAACGTAAAATCTAGAGCTATTTAATAGTAGATAACGTGAATTCTGATTGGACAGACGTATCCATAATTGGAAAAAAACTATCTGCAGCTGTAGTAGTATTTTTTTCGAGAATACCTATTGAAGAACGCCGGTGTTGTTGATGGCAAATGCCGAAGTGAGTTGATTAAAGTTACCAAAGTTGTCCTACTTGTCCTTCTAAACTCTACTCCCCTCTTCTCCTTCTTGTTGTCCTCTTGTGTCTGCTTGTGCAATCACCGCTTGCTGCACAGTCGAGCCAACCAAGTTGACCATCCCGAAGATTAGCCAATAGGAAGCGTTCAAGGACGGTTCAGGGTGAACCGTGCCAACGGTTCAGGTACGGAACGGAACCGTACTTAGCGGTGCACTTCAACAATACCAGTAAGGCGATCTATAACGCATCCATTCATATTTTTCTTGAGCGTGTGTGTATGATAATGGCCACCAAGTGACCAAGCGTAGTTATCTGCTACTCAAACTTCTAAAAGTATTTCGCTTTCAGCTTGGTGGAATGGCACGCTGCACGAGCCCCACGGTTATGATGGCACCTTCACAGGCCAGACAGACCCGCCGATATATGCTCAACTACACCTTTATTACAGATCTTAACAGGCTTCGATCTGACGCCTGCCTCTCAATCCGATCGCTGAACTGATTGAGGAGATTCACAGTTCCATATAGGATAGCAAGAATGTCGTTAGATGTCAGTATCTTCAACAAAAGACAGTTTTTCGAACTGCAAATTGTTGGCATCTGCGAGAAGCTCATCAAGCCCTTTGACTTCGTAGCTTTGCGTTCCTGGCTAGTTCGGCCGCCTTCTCTGCCTTCTTCTTCGCCGCGATCTGTTGGAATCGTTCCAACTGCTCCGCAGCTCACTTTTTGTATACTCGCGCGTCCTTGTAAATGGATGTCCACGGAGTCCACTTTTTCCACCTGGACAAGTTTATCTTTCTTTCTTCTTCTACAAGCTCGCCGTCCCTCATTTCGTTACTTGTCAGTAAAGCCTTGTCGCTAACTCTGTCACCATGGACTTCGTTAAGCAGCACCGTGCCAGTTCTAGCCGCCGGACCATCTTTCGTCGGTTCGGAGTGAACATTGACGTTCAGGAATAGGAGAATAACCCCAATTGCCAGCGCCAAGCTGGTTGATCGCATGATTAGTCTTGGATTTTGGTAGACGTGGAGGACGGGGAGGCGGGGACACTTGTGGCCGGTGGTGAAATTTGTGGAATGAGCGGTTGGTGACGCCCTGGTTTTGGGTTGTGACTACAATAAATACAACACCAAATGTTTACGAAATATTCTGCGTTGTTGTACCGCATTTTTGTAAATATATGTACTGTACTGTACAAGAGCGGGAATGCCAAACGCTTACGGAACTAAGTCTCTACATGAAGAATAACAAGCAGTTCTAGTTTCAGGGTAAATGTCTCCTATTTTTATGGGGCTACATCGAGGAAGACCGATCGACATAAGCAGCTTCATGGTTCCATGTAGCATGAATGTCGTTTGATATATGGCGGAGAATCTACAAATGTAGCGCGAATGTTATTCGATGTCATCCAACAGTTCTTCGATCTGCGAATACACTTGGAGGTGATCATTTGGCTCGTGATCACTTACATGTGGTGAACAATTGACTCTTGGGCCCGCGTGATCATTAATCGTTCTACTGAGTCAGCATTGCTAACCAGGTGTCATTCCCAAAGTTACTCGGCACTCGACAAGCTCAATCGACACCGCTCTTCAACTTTCGGCACCCATGCGCATCTCATCCTTCCTTCTCGCATATTTTGCGTTGCTGGCCACGGCTACCGCCAAAACCAAGACACACCAAGTCAGCAAAGCAAGGGACGAAACGGCTGACGACAGTGACTTCTTTGTTCTGTTGTCGGCGATCAGGCCTACAGCCCTGGTGTTGACATTTATCTCAAAGTGGCGTCGGCTACCCCCTTTGCCCAGAAGACAGATGTGATGAACGCTGCCACTGAAAATCGGTACCAAATACAGTTTTCCTGTGATCGCTTGCGCCGGTGACTCCGAATAGGATGTTGGATACGACTTCTTCGATGTGGCATGCAAAACAAACAAGTACAAGGTCGTGATATACGCGTGGCCCTGGTCGGGTGCTCTCGAGCTTACGTCAATCAAGCAAATGCCGGAAGGGTGGGTGCAGCTTGGAAATTAAAGAAGGTACTTAGCGTTCTTAACGTATTCGATTTCGAGATGTTAAGACCAGAAAAAATAGAGCATTGGCTGCGGAAATGGGGTATTGTGCCTTTCGGTCATTTTGCCGAGTCCTACGTAGGACTTTGGAGGTCAGTTAATCTGAGGTTGGGGGTCTCTAAATCTGAGATGCAAATCTCGGACGAGTCCGATGAGCGGTCTCCCGGAGGCTCTCCGTTCAATGGACGTCCAAGCCAAGCAAGCTTTGTTTGGGGAAGCAATCAGTGCTGGAACCCACGAAGACGAAGGGAGAAGACTTGGTTGTTTAATGTATCGACCGCATCGTGCTTACCTAGGTTTATTCTGCGTCTGACATACACCGTATTAGAGTCAGCTCGTATGAAAGTCCTGCCACAAGACTTGACAGGAGTCCTTGGTAAGACCTCAAACCCCGAATGCCGTGAGAATGGACGACATTCGGGCTTTCGGCTGTTTGTAGGACCTACGCAAGTGCTTCCATCGGACTAGCAATTCTTGGTCCTAATTCCCTACGAGGGGCCTGCTAATCTGCTCCGATAACCTAGCCCCGTCTTAGTAGGTAGCTGTTTTACACGTCCGATTTGCCAAAACAACTGAAAAGCACAATACATGTATTCCGTGATGGGATACACTACGAGTGTAATTTGCCGAATATCTCTCTACCGAGTCAAACCTTGCTTGAATCAAATTGGACAATTTCACGTTTTCTCAAGAAAAAAAATGCCAAATGCAGTATAAATATTCCCGAGCGAAAAATGGCTACATTATGTGGCACACCTAGTCCATCGATCCATTCACAAACAAGCACACGACAAGACCAAACGAGTCAAAGCGGTCACCATGAGCGTACGTAGCTACCGCCCCTGCGGCCCAGTAGAGCCTCGTTCCCATGCCACAACCCCCACCTTCACTTTCCTCACTCTCTCCGCTCTCGATTGAGCCCGCTCTCGCTCCCAACCGTGCAGTGGTTCGCCCTAACCAAAGCCTTCATTGCCGTGTATCATTCCTTACCCACTTTAGGAGAAGACGGCGGCGCAGTCGCAGATGTCCATGGAGCAGATGCAGCAGCAGCAGATGAAGCAGCAGTGAGTGTCAGCGGGGGTATCGACGCCTGTGGAGGGTCTGGAGCTGAGTCTTTGCTGTGCTGCTGATGGTCTCTAGGGAGCAGGAGCAGATGCGCCAGTCCATGATGCAGCAGGTCATGCTGCCCGACGCTCGCGAGCGCTGTACGTACTGAAAGAAGCTAACTACTAGCTGCTGGGGGTGTGACGGTGGCTGACGATGAGGTTTTGTTGCTGTTCAGTGGCTAGAATAGCGATCGTGAAGCCCGAGAAGGCTCGCGCCATCGAGGACATGGTGATCCAGATGGCCCAGCGCGGTCAGCTGACGGCCAAGATCGACGAGGACAAGCTCATCGACCTGCTGAACCAAGTGGGCGTCTCGGAGGAGAAGCAGCGCACCAAAGTCACGGTATGATGGCCAGGAAGATCGAGATTTTTGCCGTAGAATCTTACGAGGTGTTTTTATTCGTTGTGTTGGTGCAGATGAAGCGGCGAACGTACTTCAGTGATGAGGACGACGACGATGACGACGACGACTTTTAAGTCCAGCGTATGGGAGTAAAGTCGACGGCGACGGGTTGGAAAATGTGTTTCTGCTGAAGAAGCAGAGCATCATCGTGCGAGCTAATTAGCTCCTGCGCAGAGGGCAGCGTTTCCGTTTCCATGTAAAGAGCACAATGATACCAATTCGCTTTCCCCCCATGAGCTCAGTGTTCTCTTGGCTTGACTTGTGTTGCGTTACGAATGTCTCGTCAATTGATAAGCCCAACGACTGTCGAAAAGTTACGTCATCGCTTCAACACTCCAGGTGACAACTTCAACGTGCATGATTCCTATCAGATAGTACAATAAAACGAAGCTGTGTAGTATGCATGAGAGCTCGTGGCTATATTATTTAATCCGGACAAGCTAATCGTTGTCTAGAGGTGTGTAGTAAAGGCAGCAAAATGTGTGCGGGCGATGATACTGTAGAGATCTTGGGGTTTTGCAACTTGCTGAAGTGCTTATAAATTCGCCCTCGTCGTTTATGAGGCGGCCTTGGCGCTATCTTTCAGGCCGACAGTGTCGATGTAAGCCACGATGATCGTGGTGTCGTCGATGACCTGCTCCTCCTTCATCCAGCGGCGGTTTGCCTCCATGATCAGAAGATCGACTGCCACCTTGGGGTCCTGCTGCCCCATGGCCATCTCCATGCACTCCTCGTTCGACATGAATTCCCACAGACCATCCGTCGCCACAATGAGGCATCGGTCGTTCTCGTCGAGATATCGCGTAGTAAACTCCGGCTCCGACAGAACTCCAGCAGTGTGAGCGACCGCATCACCCAGCGAGCGGGACATGGCGAGACCGGGGACATCCATGTGGCCGAGCCAGACACGGGGAGGGCCGTCAATGCCGTCGTCGTACTCGACAGCGAACACGCGGCCACCGCTGGCAATGATGCGAGCCTTCTCGTCCGGTCGGTCGGGCTTGTGGTCAATAGACAGCTCCTGGCAGCCGAGCGCCTCGGGACCCGACGGACCCAGAAGCTTCACGAATCCACGCGTGATCCGCGAGTCACCGACGTTGCCGACCACGACGAGGTTATCGCGCACCACAGTCACAACCGCAGTCGTTCCGCTGAACTCCGTGTCGATGTTGGGGTCTCGTAGCACAGTCTGCTCCACAGACCGCAGCGTGTCCGTAATGGCCGTCCGCAAGCTCTCAGCGTCCTGTTGAATATTTCCGGACCGCTCGAACTTGGCGTGTGCGAAGAGCTCAGTCGCAAACCGGTCGCGAATGGCCCCAGAGACGCCGTCACCGGCCTCTCCGTGGCCGTCGAACACACACAAAAGCAGCGACTGCGTGTTGCCGTCGTACTTGATGACCATGGCGTCCTGGTTCTTCTTGCGCGGGTTGTACGGCGCGTAGCCCTTCTTGGAGAGTCCAGCGAAGGCCACGACGGCGCAGCTCCCGTCCGCCAGCGCCTGGGCGCTGCTGTCCACTTCCTCGATCGTGGCTGCAGCCATGCCGTCCACGAGCTTGTTGTCGCTCACCACGGACAGCCGACGGCGCTGCAGCCCGAGCGAGTGGTCACCTCCCTTCGCGGCGGCCGGGATCTTGCCCGGCGTCTTGATGGAGATGCCCTTGGGCGACGCCACATTGGCGGCCGTGGCCTCCTGCTGGCGGAGCTTCACGGTCGAGCCCGTCTTCTGCACTGCTCGGGTGGCCATGGTGTTGGTCGAAAAGCTCGAGCTAGAGGTGAAGGAGGAAGGAGGCAGGCGACTGCGACTGGGACGCTGCAAATGCCGGAGTGAATCGAGACTGAGCCTGGAGTCTGGAGTAACGGGCCAGAGCTGGAGGCGAGTGAGTTAGTCGCAGTAATTATAGCCGACGGGCGCGGCCTAAAGCGATCAAAGGTGAACCGGCGTGCACGTAGTGAACTGTGGGAGGGGCCAGTGACCAGAAGTCGGCAGGCGCGACGTGCAGCTAAGAAAAGCGAGGCTTGACGCCTTTAGACTGAGCTGAGCTGAGCTGAGGATAAACCCACAGTGCTGCAGTAGAGCTCTACTTGCAGAACACTACACACGAGATACCCCCACCGCTCTTGGATCTAATTTCAGGCTCTCGATATGTTTACGCGTGCGAGTCCGGTATTTCGCAAAAGATCCAAAAGATCGGCGATATACATGTAGCCATATGACCATATGACGTGCAAGTGTAGCCATTTTAGCAAGGGCTCTAGTCGCTGTCGTCGTCGCTCTCGTCTTCGGACGACGAGAGGCTGAGCGAGATGGTGTTGGGGGCCTCCTCGTCGCTGTCGCTCGAGTCGCTCGAGCTGTCGCTGTCGGCGGCACCGTCCTCGGCCTTGTCGCCTTCTTCCAGCTTGCGCTTCTTGCGGAGACCTTCCACGTCGTCCACGACCTCGTCGTCGTACAGTGGTGCACGCTTCTCCGGCAGCTTGAACTTCTTGCGCAGGATCTCCATCACGTCGGGCGGCAGCGGGTCTCCAGTCTTCCACGACTCGGGCAGCGTGATGCCGTGCTCCGTGAAGAAACTCCGGCCCATGTAGTGCAGCAGCGCGTCTAGCGGCAGGTCCACGGGGTCGCCGGGCTTCCATCCTGGCGGCATCTGCTTGCGGATCTGCGCGTCGCTGGCGCCCAAGCCAATGGGGATGTTGAGCTTCTCGATGGCCTCGCCACCGTCGCCGTCCTGCTTGACACGCGCCGCTGTGGACGTGTACTTCTCCGGCCCTTGGGTCACGATCTCCGCCACGATGCCGCGACTGAGCACACCCGCACGCATCATGTGCTCCTGCGGCGCCGGCGGCATGAACCCAAACATGGGGAACTGACCACAACCAGAAAACACAGAGAAATAAAGTGTCAGCAAAGTCGCGCGTGACCTCCACAAAAGGACGCTATTGGGGAGATCAGCCCACGTACTCCGGGCTGCCACTCCTTGGGTGCCGACGTCGTGCCGGCAATGCGGTGCGCGTACGCCACAATGTCGCGCGGGTCGAGAACCACTACAACGCCACACAGACATAGATCAGTACGCATCTCCTCCTTGAAGTCAAGCTAAGCCAAGCTCTACCTTTGGACTTCTGCTTGGCGTTCTGCAGCACGACGCGGTGTTTCCTCAGCACATTGGCGATGTCCTCCTGGGAGCGCCGCAGCTGCGCTGCATACTGCACGACCTTCTGCTTCTTGCTCTCGATCTCCGCCTCCACGCGCAGCAGCTCCTTCTGCGCCACCTGGTGCCTGGCCACTGCGTCAAGTGTCAACAGCTCTCAGTGTCAATAGAGCACTCCTATCTCGTCAATACCAAGGCCTTTAGCCCAACGCACGCTTCTTGACGGCCGCCAGCAGGTCCCGGTCCTTTTCCAGCACCTTGTTGAACGTCTCGTTCACGGTGCGCAGCCTCGTGGCGGTGATCGTGGACGGCGGCCTGCATAGCATACAGTTGAAGAGCACATGTTATAAGGCGCTAGATTACATGAGAAATACTTCGGATTGGAGCCACGCAGCGGTGGGATTAGAGATAGGGTGCACGTACAGTGAGGCTGTGTTGAGGGACTCCAGCAGCTTGGTCACGAGGAAGCGGTGCTCGTGCAGCGCCACCTCCACCTCCTCGCGGATGCTCCCGCCCATCTGCGGCATATTGCAACAATAACGAAAAAAAGGTCACTTGCCCTTTGTATTCGTCACTATACCATACACATGTAACCGCTCTAAATAACTCAAATTAACATATCACGCAGTTGTAGAGCATCTACAGTTACAATAGCACTTTTCCACATACAAACGACAAGTGTATCTTCTCCCTCACTTCACTTCATATCTCCAAGAGCGTCATGACGTTGCGCAAAGTGGGCTCCGGCCTGGCGCGGCTGCTGGTGCTGGGCGTGACCTTCCACGCGCTGTACGTGCTGAGCATCTTCGACATCTACTTCACGTCCCCCGTGGTACCGCACGTCGAGAGCGTGGCCTACACGGACGCGCCGCCGGCCAAGCGCGTGATCGTCTTCGTAGCCGACGGTTGTAGAGCAGACAAGTTTTTCGAGGCCAAGACGGCACGCGCCGACGCGCGCGCGGGACCACGCGCCTCCTTCCTACGCAACATCATCGAGACTCGCGGCAGCTACGGCGTCTCGCACACGCGCGTGCCCACCGAGAGCCGTCCGGGCCACGTGGCGCTCTTCGCCGGCATGTACGAGGACGTGAGCGCCGTGACCAAGGGCTGGGCTGACAACCCCGTGGACTTCGACTCGGTCTTCAACCAGAGCAGCAGCGCCTTCCTGTTCGGCAGCCCGGACATCGTGCCGATGTTTGCTCGCCATGTGTCACAAGCACTTGAAGAGCACTACTCGCACGAGGAGGAGGACTTCGCCAAGGGAGACTCGTCCGAGTTGGACGTGTGGGTGTTCCGCCACCTGCAGAGGCTGCTGGACGTGGCTAAAGAGGACTCGAAGCTGTCTGAGAAGTTAAATGAGGAAGGGGTCGTGGTGTTCTGCCATTATCTGGGCATCGACTCCAATGGACACGCCCATCGACCCAATTCCAAGGACTATTTGAACAATATCGCGCTGGTGGACGAGCTGGTGGAGAAGACGTATCGGATGGTGGAGGAGTTCTACGGTTATGACGGACGCACGGCCTACGTGTTCACGGCGGACCATGGAATGGGGCTGAAAGGAGCTCATGGAGACGGAGACCCCGCCAATACCCGCACGCCGCTGGTTGTGTGGGGAGCGGGCGTGCAGGGACCTACCGAAGTGCAGAAGAGTGAGGAGTTTGAGATTGATCTGCCCACGCAGTCGCGCGCGCAGGTCCAAGCGCAGCTTCAAGCCCAGGAGGAGCAGGAACAAGCGGCGGTGGACGAGTGGGGAGCGCTCAACAAGTTGCTGCGCAAGGACGTGATGCAGGCTGATGTTGCTCCGTTGATCAGCGCGTTGCTGGGGTTGCCGTATCCGCGGAACTCTGTGGGAGTGCTGCCGTTCTCGTACTTGGCAAAGGGGGCGTATCGAGCGAATGCTGTACGCTCGAACGCACAGCAACTGTACCTTCAGGCGCTGCGGAAGGAGCAGGAGAAGCGGTCGCGAACTTTGCTGAGATTTGTGCCGTACGGTCCGTTCCATGATCGCGTCCCTGAGCTGTCGAAGCAGCTTGCTGAAGCGTATGATACGAGTCTTCGGAGTGACGAATACTCGGAAGCGTTCGCACGCGTGGAAGAACTAAGTCAGGAACTGATTGACATCTGCTTGGCGACTCTGGAATACTTCCAGAGGTACGACTGGTTCTTCCTGCTCAGCGTTGTTGTCTTGGGCTATGTTGGATGGATGATTGTCGTCGGAGTAGCCTACATACACCCAAGAGACTTCAGCTTGAAGTGGCTGCTTGGGGTGGGCGGCAAGCAGTTGGACATGAAGCTTGTCGTTGCGGTGTTTGCGACCTTCGTGTACCTCGCCCTTGAGGGCTCGCCAGCGACGTACTACTTGTACGTGCTGTTTCCACTGCTGTTTGGAGTATTCACGTGGAACCATGCTGGCCTGATCAAGGTAGCCTGGGCCGGTTCGAGCTCGAGCGAAACAAAAACGAAGTCCAGTTGGAAGCGATGGGCCGAGATTGCCCTAATTTTCGTGTGTCTGGAGCTTGTGGTATTTGGGTATGAACGACGCGAGATTTTCGGTGTGCTGTTCTCGCTTCTAGCGCTGTGGCCGTATGTTGGCACTTCGACAGGAGATGAAGAGGGAAGTACGCATGCTCAAACTGGAGGTTTCCCGGCTCCGAGTCGCAGTTGGAAGATAAACTGTCTCCTGATCTCGGTGTTTCCATACTTGCCTAGCGAGTATGGGGAGCACACTGCGCTCGTGAATGTCGGTGGTCTGCTTACATTGCTCTTTAGTGGGGCTGTACTCAGCGTGGCGGGTTCTCGCGCGCAAAAGATCTGGACGAACACTTCTTTCATCCTGAGCGCCTTGCCGCTGGTACTCTCGCTTGTGACGTTGCATGCGACTATGCAGTATTTGGATGGTGATCGAACGAAGCCTCCCTTTTTACTCACGGTAGCTAACTGGTTGCTGGCTGGTGCCCCCATCGTGGTATTGCTCGCGAGGTTGCACCACACCAGAAGCAGCCTAACCCGTGGTCTTGAAACTGGTGCTGGTCGTCGTGATCGCCAACTTCTTCAAGCTGAGGTTGAAGGCTATGTGAAGCGGCTCATTGAAGTGATGCTAGCCTTCGCGCCGTCATTTATTCTATTGAGCATCGCCTACGAGGTGCTGTTCTACGTGGTGCTATGTGGTGTTCTCGTGAGCTGGTTGTTGCTGGAAGCCGAAGCCTCTCTGGCGTCTTCGTCTTCGATGTGGCGGGAAGTTCAGCGCGCGTTTGTGTTTTTACTGCTGGTCAACATCGCCTTCTTCGGCACGGGCAACGTGGCCAGCATGAGCAGCTTTGAGATTTCGTCCACCTACCGCTTCGTCACGGTGTTCGCCCCCTTCACGATGGGCGCGCTGTTGGTGGGCAAGATCCTCATTCCGTTCATGGTGGTGGCGTGCACCTTCCACCTGATCCTGCTTCTTCCTTCGGCCATATCGTCAGCTGACTCACAGAAGCCTCGTTTACCCGCGACCCGCTACTTCCTCCTTGTTGTAGCAATGTCGGACGTGCTCGCGTTGCATTTCCTCTTCCTGGTCAAGAACGAAGGCAGCTGGAAGGAGATTGGCAACTCCATTTCCATGTTCGGTATCGTGAACGCGCAGATCGTCTTCATCCCGCTGCTGTTTCTGTTGGCGCGTGCGTTTGTCCGTGACCTGACACCCGCTACCGAAGTTGGTGGCCAACGTCTTCATGACAAGAAGCACCAATAGACATAACTACTACATAGAGAATAGAGTGCGACTTCAGACACTAAGTCGGCTTGGCAACTGATGTTTAGTTCGTCTTCTTCATGTAAGTGGTAAGAAGGCGGCCCCAGACAGCGTTTAGCTAGGCAACGAAGACAGCAACGAGAGATTCTGATGAGTAGCTGTCCAGGGGATGGCATGGCCTATGGGGTGGAGTGAAAAGAAGTGGGAACAACATGACTGAGGGCAATAAGCAGAACCGGTGTAGCCATTATGCAATGACTGTGGTCGAGAAACGCTGAGCGGGGAGTGAGAAGCGGAGGTGTTCAAACAATTGCGGAAAGTGCCGACTAACAAGATCCTTCAGATACAGCATTAAATATAGGCAACCCGGAGCGTTGCTCCGGGAGGGTACACAGGTCGACGAATAGTTTCATGGACGATGATAATGGATAATAATTGAGTAAATCCTAAAGTTGTTTTGTTTTTAATCCTTAAAAGCACTACCAGCCCAACTCTTTAGTTGACTCTAACGTGGGCATCTACTGCGCCTGCTTCGCAGCCGCAGCATCTGCCCGAGACTGCGGAATTGAACAAATAGTTGCGCACATCGAAGTGTATCGATACGGAAATGATGTTTCAGCCAAACCTTTGTGAGGCTGGTAACCAGCAAGCCCCGCTCTTCTTTATCGTGGTGGGTTCTCAGGAACCGAAAGTCACCAATTGAGGTTGCCTCGTCTGATGAGGCCATCGGTGACATAGCACCCTGGTCCAATGGCTGCGTTGGCGTTAGCAACGAGAGAGCTATTTCATTCATTTTGCAGGTAAGGTATGCCGTGCTCATTTTCGAACTATGTTGTGTGCTAACGATCAGACGAGAGAGCTACAGTACTGTAGCGGGACGAAGTAGAGACGCATGGTGCGCTGATCTTGACCTTTTAACTTGAGGATGTTAGCTAAGTGACAATAATGATCCTCAATTCAAAAACGAAACAAACAAACTTTTAACTTGAGGGCTTGGGGGATAAATTGCGGAATGAGAAATACGCTAATGGGCCAATTCCTTGGAGGTGGGTGCTTCAACGGAGGGGAAAAAGGCTTATTCAAACGAACGATGCTCGTGTCACTGTCGAGTTGAGCTGATTGGTTTGGCGACAGACACGAGGTTGGGCATCTTCGGCTAAGAGTAATTGGGTATTGAGCAAATTGACATGTAAAAAAATGCAGCCTGCACCTAGTCAAGTCATGTTGGTCATCTTCAGCTAAGCTTAGTCGATTATGGCGCAAATTGATACGCCTTCAGCGAAGCCATGACGCTCTCATAGTGCACTGGAGCGTCCGTAAGTTTTTGAATGCAGGTTTTGGTAAATAATAAACGATTAGTATCAACCTTTGGTAAATAATGTGCATAAATCTTAGCATTTATCGACGGGTACCCGATTCCGGCAAATATTAGCTTAAACATTACAATTAACCCCTTGATTCCCGACGTCGTAAGTTACGACTTTGCCGAGTCTCAATGTCGTATAATACGACATATCATAACGGTTCCGACTTCCCTACATATTCCGACAAGTAGGCAATTGGTCAAAGCCAGTGCAAAATCGGAAATAGTAAAAAATCGGAAATTAGATATTATGTACGGTAAATTAGGACTAGGGCCGTTTGACCGATTCTTGTCAGCTTTCATGCGGTGCTCACAGCCGCGAGGAAATCGCCTCTAGAGGCCTGTGGGCCGAGAAAAACGGCAATTTGCATCTAGGCGCAAAATCGACTCGGGGCAATGTGCTCTCGAGGTGGCAAGTTCATTAATGAGAGCCAGGATCCTGTGGTGGGTCCACTATTTGGGTTGATTGTCTTTAAACAGTGATATTTACACTTCACAAGAGTGACCCTCTCTTCCAGAGCCACTCGTTTAAAAACTTCAATGAGGTTTTATTTAAGCCAATAGAAAAGCGCCACGCAGTCAAGCTCTCGGAGACAACGCCGACAGAGGCCCCGCGACTTCAGTCTAGATTTTTTAAGCCGAACCCCCCAGACCGCAAGCCAAGCCGGAGGCTCCACCCTCGACGACGAAGCTCAATGGATGAGCGCAGGGCTTGCCCTGAGGAGCGGGATCGAAGCCCGCCGTCGCCAATCACGATTGATGGGAGCCTTCCAAGGTGTGCAGTGTTTGGGTCCGGGCAAGCGGCCACGAGCGGATGGAGAGCGATGCGCTGAGTGCCCGATGGTCTCTGGACGATGGTTGGCAGGATGGTCATGGCCTTGATCTGCGCGTTCGTAAGCTAACTGTCTTGTATTTGTTCATGAATATATGTATTTGCCCCGAACTTTGTGCCTTACACGTGTCCGACGACTTGTAGTATGTTTTGGGTTGCAGCCGGCGCTGGGTCGACGATCCTTTCCAGGGCGATGTGGCTTTGATACGCCACGATGCGACTGTCGAGGGCACCAGACCGATGAAGCTTGCGTATCTCGCGCAGCACGCTGCCAGCTCCTTTTGCTCGGGATCCCTGCTCGCTCAAGAACCTAAGGACCGCTGCTTCCGCGCGTTTTCCTACGTCGAAGACTAGATCTTTGAAGTCGACAGCATCCTCGCGCAGCACGAATCCGCCGTCAAGAAAGAGCTTCATGTACGCAACGCCCAGGCGGTAGTCGGACTTCTTCTGGCGGTCGCTCGAGTCCCAGACACGGGGCAGCCTCGTGTACCACTCGAACCACAGCGAGGACAGGTTCGTAGCAGCTTTCTTTCTTCGCTTTGCGGGTGGCGCTTGCTCTGACGACGCTTGCTCTTCTGATGCTTCTTCAATACGCTTCACAGGCGGCGCTTGCTTTAGCATGATCGTCTCCAGTGCGAGGAGGCGCGCAAACATGAGCCGATTGCTCTCGATATGCTCGCTAATGACAGCCAAATGGTGACACCCAGCATGACAGCAGTTGCTCTTTGCTGCCGACTTTTCGTGTGCTTGTTCAGGACTCGAAGCAGCAAACGTATTGATTGCCATGGACCAAGACAGCATGTCGGCGACCGGGATATCAGCCGCTCCCAAGCATTCCTCGATACGCGCAACGAACAGCGTGTCGGGCACCAGCGCCTTCACTTGCGGGAAATACGTGATCAGGTACGCCGTCAGCACTCCGATAACCTTGCGACTTACGTTTAGCTTTGCGTCTGCCAGTCCAATGCAGGAACCGAACAGCAGCTCCTCCAAGCGCGCCAGGCGTTCCTGCGTCCCATGGTCCAGCGCTGTAACGTCCGCAATGACCGGGGCTTCGTCGGCGCTCCAGCCGCTCAGCACTCGGGCGACTTTTCGGTCTTCGCGGAGGGGTGGGTGGGTGTTGAAGACATAGGCAAAGCCTTTGTTCGTGCGGGTCATATCCCATGGCCCGCGGTCAAAGATCCACTGCGCTGCTAGCCGCTCGTCTCCGTTGGCGTGCTGGGCACCTCCTCGGCGAAAGGAGTGCGAGGTCAGGTTGCTCGTGGCACCGGCGGGTTCAGCCACCCGCTTCAAAAAGCGGTTGACATACGCTTGGACTCCGTCCTCACCGCGGCCGAGGCTGCTCCTCGCGGGACATGAAGCTGTGAGCTGAGCTGGCAGGGAGGCGGTGGTGGCTTGCGACGGGTTGGAGCTGGGAGGACTTGGTGTGGGGAGCAGGGAAGCGGTGCTGGGCGGCGACAGGGATGCTTCCAAGGCCGTCGCGGTGTCGCTGCTATCCGCGACGCTGACCCGCAGCACCTCGAGCAGAGGCGCACCTGCGTCGAGCGAGGTTCCAGCGGTGGTGGCGAGAGCGGGAAGCTGACTCAGCAGCGACACACAGGGCGCCTCCTGCATCACCAGAGCAACGGCCAGTGTGTGCAGGGGGCAGGTGAGGAAGTCGTCGCGGTCAGGTAGTCTTGATCTTCGGCAGTTTTCACGCGAAGCATGCGTACGTAGAAAACGTTGTCTGCTGACACTGTGATGTGCTGCTTGCTGATATAGCCGAGATCCGAGGAGCGCCCAAAACAGTGCCACATGAGGCACGCGAGCGCCGCATCTTCGTAGTCGGTGGCGACAGACGCCGTGCTGTAGACATAGCGAATTAGTGACCTTAAATCCGCCTTCGTGCAAGGCGGAGCTTTGTTAGTAAATCCCCCATTGTCCCGTTTAAAGCAATGTTTTTCCAAAGTCTTGCCTTGCTTTAGCAGGTTAACTCTGTAGGAACCCGAAGATGAGGATGCTCATCGAAAAACCAAAGCTTAACGTTTCTAAAGTATGAAATGGCTGTGTTAGACGCCAACTTACCTTTCTTACCTTCATACGTGGCGAGGTAGTAGCCAAAGCGGTCCATAATGGCAGCAAGGCTCTTGCCAGAACTGTCACCACGCACACAGGCTTGAATGACATTCATAGACACATTCTCTGCTTCTAGCATGCGCTCAAAAGCACCAATCCCTGTGGTGCACGCTTTTTGCGTGTTCGCAGGGATGAGTGCAGAGAGACTCATGCTGATCTTTGTCTGGCGCTTCTGCCGTTTCAAAGTGCCTATGTGTGTATATGCGGAGGACCACCAGTGTCTCCACTGACTAGAGCTCCGGTCCTAAAATAGGTTTCTGCCTAGTTGTTGTAATCATGAGCATATTTGAAAAGTACGTACTTGACTGTATTTCACTATGTGCATATACATATTTGCGTCTCGCTTCCGACAAATATTTGTCAGAAGCTGTCGGAACTAAAAACCTATCCCTGCGTGATTTGATTGGATGAAAATTGTGAATAGCGACTGTGTGATTGGTCAGGCCGTCATATATTTCCTGTTCTGTACAATCCTACTACGCTATCTGTCGGAAAAACTACTATATTCATCCATACCCAGCTCTCATGCGCTAGCCAGAATCGTGCCGCGCCCTGCATCATTGCCTGGCTCAACGGCGTGCCCGAGGACAGCGCCGTCTCCGTGCCCATGCCAGTATCGTCTCCGTGCCCAGTGTCGTCTCCGTGCCCAGTGTCGTCTCCGAGCCCAGTGTCGTCTCCGAGCCCAGTGTCGTCTCCGAGCCCAGTGTCGTCTCCGAGCCCAGTGTCGTCTCCGAGCCCAGTGTCGTCTCCGAGCCTAGTGTAGTGTTGGTGGCCAGCGCCGTCTCCGTGGCTAGCGCCATCTCCGTGCCGTCACCGTGGCTAGCGCCATCTCCGTGCCGTCTCCGTGTCCAGCGCCATCTCCGTGCCCAGTGTCGTCTCCGTGCCCATGGTCGTGTTGGTGGCAGCACCAGCTCCCGTCCTAGGCTGCAGGTAACCTCGGCCTCATTATCTTAGATAAGACATGAAACAAAATAGATCAGAACGCGTTCTTCATTTCAGCTCGTATTTAAATAGACTAACTTGTCGAGGCCTTCACTTTCAAGCGTACCCAGTTAGCAAGACTGCCCACCCAGTTAGCAAGACTGCCCACCTCACACATCCGCTTCCAAGCAAACTTTGTCTCCATGGATTCGTCTTTCGTCGCTTTGACTGCCGCTGAATCCAGCAATGAGGACATGATAAAAGTTGGAAATTATTTTGTCGATAGGAAGACGAGCACCAAGTTCTGGAAAACGAGAGCTTTCAACGAAAACAAGAAAATTCGACAGGAGTCGTGGGGTTTCTACATTAAGTGGCTGTGTACTGGTTGTACTATGTGGGAGGTCTGCCTTACTCAAAAACGAGATCAGGAACGAGATGAAAATGGAGATCCGGTCATGAATTCGAAGTTCAGTCACGTACCTACCGATGCATGGTATATTAGCAGTGTCCCCATTGGTCATGCCCAAACCTGCCGATCTACTAAAAACGCAAGCAGTGCGCAGATAGCACGGTCACGTGGATTTCAAAGTGCAATGGTTGATGGACATAGTACGTCTCTTGTCCGGGTTTCGAAAGCTTTGGAAACGGTGGATAACATTAATATGGACAACCGTAAGTCAACACTGTGCCGGATTATCCAAAAGGGTCTGGTGTCGACCACGGGGACAGCGATGGTCTCGGCCACGAAGCTGTTGCTTGGGCTGGGCTCGGAGACGACACTGGGCTTGGAGACGACACTGGGCTTGGAGACGACACTGGGCACGGAGACGTCCATGGTCACGGAGACGTCCATGGGCACGGAGACGTCCATGGGCACGGAGACGACAATGGGCTCGGAGACGGCGCTGGACACGGAGACGGCGCTGGACACGGAGACGACACTGGTGGCGGGCAGACGCTGAGCCTGGATCTGGTGGTGGACACGGAGACGGCGCTGTCCTCGGGCACGCCGTTGAGCCAGGCAATGATGCAGGGTGCGGCACGATTCTGGCTAGCGCATGAGAGCTGGGTATGGAGGCGATGCTGGCTAGCGGTCCGTCGATTGTAAAGTGATCTGATTAATAGCCAATCATTACCTTTGTGGTGACTTTTGATACAACCTCACCTGTTTGTGGTGACTTTTGATAAATATTCATACAGCCGGGACTAGCCCGGGGACGCCTGTATGTCCACAGCCGTGAATCACTTCTTTGTACAGAGCCTTATGGGACATCGCGTGGTATGTAGACGGTAATCACATGGCCCAACAGGTGGACAGTAATAGTCGGTACAGACCATGGTATTAATACCGGTAAGATCCAAGTTGGGATCGGGTGGCAATAAAACGGAGACCTGCCATAATCTTGGGACCCAGTTCTGGCGTATGGTCCGGAGGAAAGCATACAGTTACATGCATCAGGTGATCGATCGCAAACGATCTTGGGACCCAGTTCTGGCGTATGGTCCGGAGGAAAGCATACAGTTACATGCATCAGGTGATCGATCGCAAACATTGAATGTACGGTCCCTCGGGAGGCCGCTCTGTTTCAAAGCACTTCGCAATTTTGCCCTCAACTCGCAGCGTCCAAGTCCCCCACCTACGATGCGTCTCTCCAGCTTCGCGCTGTTGGCTACTGCTGCCTTCCTGGCAATCGTGCCCAATGTCTCGGCAGCTACCGTATCAGCACTCCAGCTCCCCGCTGCCATGCACTCGAGCACTGACGACTTCATAACTCCGAAGAGAATGGTGAGGGGTTATGATGACGGCGACGAAGATAGGGCCGGCATGGACAAGGTTGCTGGTCTGGCTAAGGAGAGCGTGTCAAAACTTGCGAAGGCGAGCTCTTACTGGGCTCGGCGCATGAATGTGGGCCAAGTTATGGACAAGCTAAAGTTCGGAGACGACATCGTGGCGACGCTGGAGAACCCGAAGATCAACACTTTCGCCACGTACATCGAGTTGCACAACAGCATGAACTCGAAAAACAAGCTCTCGGTGGTCGGTACGCTCTCAGCGCGCTATGGAGACGATGCTGTGGCACGGGCACTCGTGACTGTCCAGAGAAAGAATGACGCTGCTACGAGGGACCTTATGGTAAATTTGCGCAAGCAGCAAATCAACGATTGGCTGGACAGCAAATCCGTGGACGATGTGTTCAAGCTACTGAAGTTGCGAGCGGATGGGTACGAAGCTCTGACTAGCCGGAAGTTGGAGGTGTTTGAGGAATACATCAAGGCGTTCAACAGTAAGACAGGCAGACAGGTGTCGCTGTACTCGGCGTTGAAGACGGGTTTTGGCGGAGACAGTCAACTGGCGTCGATCCTCCAACGGGCAAAGACGGACTTTCGTACGCAACAGAAGGCCGTGCAGTTGGAGGATCAAATGATCAAGCACTGGATTGGGAGAAAGCTGCAGCCTGAACATGTCTTGGAAGAGCTAAAGCTGAATGGTGACGCGACGAATGCTCTCATGAGCAATAACCTGTGGGCGCTGGACAACTTCATTACAGCCTTCAACAAGAAGAATCCGAACATGAAAACGTCGTTGCTTAGTACGCTCACGAATCACTATGGAGATGAAAAGATGTCGAGGGCGCTGGTGACTGCAATGAGAGACCCGAACACGCGGGAAACAGCGACGCGGCTGCAGACTAAACAATTGCAGGGCTGGTGGGACAGTGAAAAGTCCATTGACGACGTTTTCGTCAACGTGCTGAAGCTAAAGGAAAACCCGACGCTGACCATTGCCAGCCGAAAGTTGGATACGTTGAACGAGTATATCAAGCTCGTCAACATCAAGACGTCTAGCCGGATCACGTTGCTGCAGACTCTGACGAAACACCTTGGCGACGGTGACTTGGCCATCAGTTTGGTGATGGGTAAGACGGTTCAAAGCACGCATGTAAGATCAAGAGCGGAGAAGTTGCAGACTGCGCAGTTCAAGAAGTGGGATAATGATGGATACGACAACATTAGCGTCCTTACCCAGATATTCAAGCTAGATGAGACGGAGCTGAATAAGGCGACCTACCTGCAGAAAACGGTCTCAGACGAGTTCAAGGCATTCTACACTAGAGTGCATCATGTAGACACAAATGTGACCCCTCGGCGCTCTTAGTATGTAGGCAACCAACTCAAGGGTAGATTCGAATTGCATGCTTCCGTTCACCTGTAAGAATGCAACAAATTATTGCCCCAGTGTACGCGACATAATCTTTCGGACACTCACATATTCCGCCATCTAGGATTTATTGACCAAACTAAAGTTACCGTCAGTAAAAAAAGGTAACTGAAGAAGAAAATGGCAGGGTACTTGCATCTACATGCAATAAAAGTTAGGTGATGATACAGTGCAAGGGTAGCTACATATATTATTGATCACCTTGATCACCATGCAATAAAAGTTAGGCGATGATAAAGTGCAAGGGTAGATACATATATTATTGATCACCTTGATCACCAATCTACGATCACCGCCTCCTCAGCTAATGCGCCAGCTTTGAGGCACGCAGCACCGCGATCGCCACTTCCACCTTGTAGTCTGCCATTATTGGCAATCCGATCCTGCGCGGCAGAGACTTCACCAGCTTGACCTACTGGTGCAGCACCTTGAACGATTCGAGTAGCGGGGTCATGATGTACAGGTGACCGAGCTGTCCTCCTTGGCCACCTCCGTGATGTACAGTGCCCACACGGCAGCCGTGCAGATAGGGTTCACCTCCTGCAGCCTAGCCGGCCGGGCACGCACGACGTTACCGTCGCCTTCATCACCTTCACCTCCTTCGACAGCTTCTCGTTCAGATCGTTAGCCTTGTGCGGCAGGAACTTGTGCGACAGCGGGTCCAGCGTCTGGGTGATCACGAGGAGGTCGTCCATGACGCGGAGCATGCCCTCAACATCCCCCTGCTCGAACGAGCACAGACAGCTGCAGCGCCGGCGTGTCCAGCTCCAAGGTACAGATCATGGGCGGACAGCAGCGATGCACTGTTGCTCCGTGCGTGCCCTTGGCAAGGAGCCTCGCGGTCCTCCGCGGGTGTGACCGCGTTCGTGACCCTCCATGCGGCGGCGCGCGCCCATGAGCTTCGCCACGTCGCCAGCCGCGAAAGCTTTCTGCAGCTCCTTCCTGCGCTTGATCATCTCGCTCACCGTCTCCTCTGCACTCGCGTAGCTGCCCCCGCGCAGTACCACCTCAGCCAACCTCGGCGTACTGCAGCAAGCTCACCCGTCCTCCAACGGCTGCGTGTGACGCCACGTCGACGGCTGTAGAGCTAGCGTTGTGGCGGTGGAACGCTCAACGCGCTCGCCGTCATGGTCATCTTGCCTTGCCCTTCGCCGCGACTGCGTGCATGTGGGGGCTTCATCTCTCGGACTTGATCGCCATCTTGAAATGAACACCAATCAAAACTTCACTCCGTCCTATTCTAGGACATAATCCTAGTTGTCAGAACGGCAAAACTATTTAAAAAGTATTTTCTGTACTTGATTTTTGTATATGCATATACATATTTAGGCCAGTCTTCCGACAAAAATTTATCGGAAAGTGCCGGAACGGGTTCACCTAACCCTAATGCAGACGATTGGCTAAATATCCACACCAGGCGATATGATAGGCTGTAATTCAGGTGAAGACAAGCCTGAAACAATCCTGCTCGCTTATCAGTCGGAAAGACCACTATATTCATCCATATCTCAGCTTCTAGAAAGAGTTAGAGCTCGCTATTTAGATGTGTTGTACCTATCCGATCAATCTATAGCTGGCATGTGACGCGGACCTAGATTTCTGAGCGCGTAGATAGGCTAGTATACAACTGACACGATTCCGGACCGCGACAAAGTTTTCGGACAATTTTTATCTTGATTAAAGTATGTATAAGATGATTGTCGTAGGTTGTCGTCTGTTCGTTAGTAAGAGATTCGACTGAGATCAATCCGTGTCACTTGGGTTGCAACAACAATGTATGAAGATGTATAGTAGAATACTTGTTAAATGTCTACGAGTAGCGAGTGACGGTTGAAGGCATTGACTGCGAGAGAGACTAGCTTGTGCCTCGAGAGTTACGAGCGACAGCATGCGTGCTGTACTCTTATGGCTGCGCCCATAGTAGTCGGATAGAGTCAACGGGGGGGGGGGGGGGGTTACCGCTTGAGAAGCTTTCGCCTACAACAACACTTAAACAACAAGAATCACAACCAATTTTACACTGAAGTACTCACTTTCATTCCTGTACTCGGCTAGCCCTTCGCACACAACTGCTTCGCGTAACTCGACACAACTCATCCACACCGGCAAAGTGCTCAGAGTTGTGGCAACGATTCTCTTAGGTTATGCGCCCAAGTGGCTACTGTGGATTCGAGTAGTGCACGACACCAAGTATGGAGCTTCAACGCATTCTTCAAGGCCTGCAGCCCCTCGGACAGGACCAGCAGCCCCCAGCATAAGGACAACAAGTACCCCAACACCAAGGACAAGATCACCTGCAGCAACAACAAGCTCCCCAACAGCAAGGGCAAGCTGCAGCGCGGCAGGAGCAGCAACCACACGGCCAAGGACGCAATGTTGCTCGACAACCAGCGGTGAGGAAGGCTTCTGAAACGGCTAAATCACCTAAATTCGATGCCGACGGCGGGTTTGACCTGTACAAAGCTCATCTAGAGTCCTCCTGCGCCAGCGTGATTGCTGGAACGTGGTTCTCGGGACTGAAGTACCCGATTCGCAGGATGAGTAGCGCCAGCAGATTTTTGAAGAGCGCAATTTGTTCGCGCGAGATGCTCTACTCTACGGACTTCTGTCAAAAGATGCTAAGAGGTCTGTAAGATGACGCGCGTGTGTGAAATGTGGACTGCCTTCGAAAGAGAGAAGACAAAACGTGATTTTGCCAACAGCATCCGAGTTCGGGCAAAGTTGTTTGGAGCAAAATATACAAAAGGCACGAACATGGATAAATATTTGGAGAGTCTCGAAGACTACCGACGCCAGCTTGAAAACATGAATTCGCCGATTAGTGACGATGAAATGGCGAGAATTATCCTGACCAGTGTAGAAGAAACTCATCGGAATGTTATCAGGATGTTCAGGCAATCGGACAGCCCTCCTGACCTCGAGCGCGTGTTCAACACTTTGCGGACGGAAGCAGAGATGAAGAGGGAGGTAGCAGAGCAGAGTGGAGGTGTCAAGCGGAAATTTGAGGAAGGTGAAAAGTTGATCGGAGCTGTGAAATTCAAGAAACCTTAGAAGGGAAAGCAGCGCCGTAAAAACGACAATGGTAAGAAGGAGACGCGAGAATGCAATTATTGCCACAAGGTTGGACATCTTTGGGCAAATTGCCGCAAACGCCTCGCTGAGCTGGACGACCGAAAGCGGAAACGCCAAGAAGATGCCTCGGACAGCAGTGATGAGGACAAGCAGCCAAAAAAAAAGGGCAAGAAGTCGAAGAATATTGGCTTCGTGGGACGATGGACGAAGAGCTCTGGTTCGATTAAGATGATGCGAGCTCCCGAGTCGGAGGATAACAGCAAGTCGAATACACAAATTATGGCTTACACTGGTGGTCGATCGAGTCAAGCTTGGATGCTATATACTTGTGGAGAAGCAGGATCCAAGAAATTGGGACAAAGGGTGATCGGCAGAATGATGGATCCAGACTCCGCGATGGACCCACCAGACTGGCGGATCGGGCCCCGTACCAGGTGTTAGAGATTGCAACGGAAGGCACTACGAGTGCGACCGGACGTCACGAATGTGTGCCCAAGCAACGCCATGCCTCGAGACCCAAGATCCAAGAGATGCAGCTGTCAAGTGGATGGGCGATCCGATCCAATCCAGATCTGATTCTGATTCGGACTCAGATGGAAGTGAGCGGTGGATCTAAAATTATGGCTCGACGGAGGCAATCAAGCGACACGCAAGGAAGGTAATCAAGCCCCATAGAGTCAGTAGGTGCAGATGGGATGATAGGATCCATAGGAAGATAGGACTTTGGGATGGGATTGGACTTAAGCATAAATCAGACTCGAATCTGCCTTATACATCGCAAGTGGCTTCGCCTGGAAACGGGAAGTACATTGGCCCCACGGCTTAGCAAGGTTCTGGTAGTGGAGCTAGCGTTGGTTAAGACTGGATAATACATTGGCATCCTCGACTCTCAGCATCTATATAGGAAGCGGCAAGTACGGCAAAGGAAGACCTGCGAAGGCAAAGGAAAGGAACAACAACAACCCAAAGGCAACCCCACGGCCGGATCCAAATCCAGGCCGCCGGATCCAAGTCGACTACCACTGGATTGGGAGTAACTACTGCGGGCAGAGTGAAGATTTCCGCGCTGCTCCACCCACATCCCCGCGTCTCGACCAGACTGTTCTGACTTCAAGGCTCGGACGCTTCAGCAGACACCAGAGGAGCAGATCCAGCCCTACCGACGGGTACACAAGGTGACCAGTTCAGCACACAGATCACGGATCATCGGGGGACCCCCTCCGTAAGTCGGTGTTCGGGCGCAGTTGGTAAGTTGGATTGGCAACCTCGCAGGTTTTGCTGATCCCACTACGCCACAATGGTGCGCGTGCCCGGATCTTCTGGTGACTCGGGATTTCACCGTGAGTCCCAAGAAGAAGTTTGAGTGAAGAAGGAACAAGGGGATCAAGCGTCATCGGAATTGGGATCGACGACGACGCTGCTGAATGAACCAAGATCCACGGGCCGGCAGAGTGCAAGGAGGACCTCTGTCGGCGGACCCG